TCTCTGGATCCGTAATCCTGGTGTTTGTCATATGCGTGTGGACACCACTCCTCCCATCGAACCCTTCGCCCGCCCCGGCCCCTCCAGCGATCGTCTCGTAGTACCCGAACTCGTTGTCGCCGAACGTCACGTTGTTCATGCAGCCTGAAGTAGTTGGTGATTCGAAAGTAATTCCCGCCCTTGCTTTCCCTTCGGTTTTTATAACTTTTTAGAAGCTGAGGTTGCAGTCAAAAAAATGAGACACAAAAGCGAATCCCCTCATTTAAAAAACGAAAATTTCTACATGGATCTCTCTCCGTTACCTTGACTCGCCGCAACGGCATGGAACGCCTTGAAGACGACGTCACAGATTCGTTGGCTTGTCAATACATTTCCGGCCACGACCGGGGCATTCTCCGACGGGGATAGGATTGTGTTGGGCGGGATCACAATCTGCAAAGTTTTTCATGATTTTAGGGACAGGAAGACAATAGTATGAGAATGAGAGTTTGCGATGAGTCAGTCCCACAAACATCCCCCATCTGACTCGACGAAGCAGTATCGCATCGGAACGATGGTTACGCCATTCAAAAGCCCTCAAAATGGTGAGTTCGCAACACTCTTCAAAACCATCATTTTGATTAAGGACGCTATTTTAAATCCCGATTTGTAGATATTACCGTTTTCGGGGTAGCATGTCCAAATTGGGTCCAGTGATCGGAAGTAGCCGGTAATGAGGTGCGCCATCGGAAATCCCGCGCCCACCTTCACCGGCACCAACAAGCCACAGTATTCAACGGAATGTCTCGATCCGACCAGACAACGCAAACGGTACGTGATGGCCGACAGGGTGACTAGGTAATTTGGCATAGTTCGTAGTCTGCAGTTCTGCACCCATTCGGCGCATTATCGACCACAAGCACTCGGGCCCCGTATCGTCGAAATCGAATACGGCTTCGCCCTGACAATTGGAAGTAGATTAAAAGGTTCTTTCGCATTATCGGGGGAGGACCTAACTTTTTCTTAGGGATTTAGTTTTTTAACATAAATAGTGGAAGTGTTTCTAAACGTTTTTTTACTGTTCCTAAAGGACAACACTTTACAAATTTTTATTTAAAATTTGATCAAAAAGCTCGGATTTTCCGACCAAAAATCAGTGGTTTTGGCCAGAAATTCGGCTTTTTAAAAGTTTTTAGACAGTGTTTCTAGTTGAAATCGATTTACATGTATTACTTCAAAAACACTATTAAGACCCTTTCTATAAAGTTACTAGGCTTTCTGGACTGATACAAGAAAGTTCTTGAGCCCACCTTTTCCTTGTCAATCACCACCGTCAGCTGAAGTGGATCAGGTGCCATAATCCCATAAATCTTCCGACGAGAAAGCCTGGTGCTTCCGGTTTCGTCGCCGTGCACTTTCTGGCCAACCTAAAAATTCAAACGTTACCAAAAAATTAACTACTTTCCATGTACTGCCATATGTCACGCTCATCAGCTTACGCTTTTCAAGAGCTCCCTGACGCTCTCCTCGGCCGTTTTTTGTATGTGCTGCATGCTATGCTTGGACGACCTGTAAGGTGTTATAAAAAGCTAAGCAACCAAGCCAAGCCCAGGCCAAGCCTGGGCCAGCCGAGGCCAAACCTAAGCCAAGCTAGGCCAATCGTTAAGCTAAGCCGGCTTAAGCCAAGCCTAAGCCAAACCTAAGTCAAGCCTAGGGAAAGCCTAACTTTAGGGCGCTACGCATTACTTACCTCTAAGCCATACTCCCGATCAGCCCCTGCACTAGCTGTATTCCCCTTGTTGTTCGCCGCGATCTGTGCTTTCAAGTCAGAAATGTTGTCGTTGAGCTGGCGAGTACCCGAACATCCTAGAAACGTTGCCTTACATCTTCAGATTTTCCAAACCTCTTGATTTTCGAGGGCGATTCAGCATTTTTGTCAGCTCCTCCTCTTGGAAATTCCCACGGTCGACAATTTTGAACGAGACGAACGTGGCGCCCCCTCCTGAACAATTAAAATTGAATTTTCTACTGTAAAAAAAGCATTTTAGAGCACTTCCAAGAACGAATCCCGGCCCTGCACCCAAAAAGCAAAGATTTGCCGCCAGCAGGGGTCGAACCTGCGACCTTGGGCTTATTAGACCCACGCTCTAACCAACTGAGCTATGGCGGCGGTGGGTGAGGCGCCCGGGTGGGCCTATCACCTGCAGGAGCTCCGTGGCGTTGGGGGGCATGCTGCCGGGGACAAGACCCCCAATGTCCGCGTGGTGACCACGGTTGGCCAGGAAGAACACGGGGTTTGGTTGCTTGGCATGAACACCTAAAATCGTAGCAAAATGTCAGATTATACATTTAATAAAAAAGTAACTACCGTAGCTTGCTATACCCTGATTTGATACCCCTAAGTGTTTTAAAAAAGGTAAGCCTTTCCTTCCCCTCAGCCGGAAGTTCCCAAACGTTTTTCACTATTACTTTTATATTGCATTATTTTTGGCTGTCATTAAAACCTGCAGTAAATTTTTTAATGCTCTATCGAATTTCATAGCCAAAATCCCGACAAAACAGCGAAAATATCGAAAATTGTGAACTTCCTGCTGGGGGAGGGGTAGGTAAATCCAGCTCAAAAAAGTAGAACCTAGGAATCAAAACCCAAGATTCGGAAATTTTTAGATTAGGAATGCTTTGCTAAATGGCCATACCGGTGTTATAACTGTCAAATCCGGCAAGTGACTCCCCGCCAGCTTTCGGGTGATTCGACAAATGACGTCGCCCTCGTGGATCCCGTCTATCCCGAGAGTCTTGATCTGATACTTCACCGAGTACTGCATGCCGCCTAAAGGATCAGGACATTAAATGACCTTTGCAGATCTCTAAAGGGACAAGAAAGCGCGAGGATCGACCCCTTTCATCGCTAGATCTTGACAGCCACGCGGCATATGAAAATAAGTTTAAAAGCCTTTAAGTTACGTAAGGAATCCGCTATTTGGTCAGCTAGGTATCCACCAGCTACGCGACGTACCAAATTACGCTTCCAAAAATATTTGATTTTTACTGAACGCGTTACTTAAAACGGTGCCTACGTGTCGAGACCTAGCCGATGTAAAGAGCAGAATTTCGACCTTCAGAGTCCCTCAATCCACCGCAAAATAATTTAACAACATACCCAAATGCACCGGAATATGCGGAGCATTCGCGATCAGCCCGCCATCCGGCCCGAAAAGAGCACAGGAGAAATCGAGACGTTCCTAAAACGGGCGCGGTGCCGGGCGCACGAAATCGTGGTACCTTGATATTTGTGGATATCGCTGTCCGCTGCAATACTCTGCCCATCTGCTCGGCGATCGACATGAACCGGTTGGAGAAGATGGACAGACGGATCGGGTCCACCTGAAAAGAAGGAGGGGTAGGAGCTGCTCATTTTTTAAGGTGAGGGACTTGCTCAGGAATTCAACATTTTATCCTAGAGTTCACGTCGAAAACTCCGTAAGCACCCCAAAAACCACGGTCGGTTAGCGGGATCTTGAGGACGATTTACGTCACTGAGAGCGAGAAGAGATAGCTAGAGAGATATAGAGAGTGGATGAGAGTGAACGAGAGTGAGAGACAGCCTGTGTATCAGAGATAGAGAGAGAGAGAGAAAGAGAGAGAGAGAGAGAGAGAGAGAGAGAGAGACGATAGAGAGACCATTTACGTTCGAGAGAGAAGGTGTTTTCTGATGGGGCGTAGAGAGTAGTATAGCGGAATTTAGGTAACCGGTACCTTTGTACTGGAATCTTTTTCGTAAGCTTCAGCGACTTGTATTTTGACATTTCCCTCCTCGGTGATCGTCGCCATGCAGCCGGGCTCGATGACGATCGTGCTGTAGAATCATCGGGTTAAAGGGACAAACAAGTGCCAAAATCTTCCCGCCTCGTCGCCAAGGTCTCGACAGTTACGTGCGACGAGAAATGACGAATGTTACACGATGGAACACACCTGTTTGCATCCAAAATAATTGCTGGGCCCTTGACGATATGTCCAGATTTTAGCTTTCCTAGCTCGTACAGTTTCGTACTCTGTGGTCCACCCTAAAGATTTGTATTTCTTTGAAGGACGGTGGCTCTTCTTCTCTCTCTCTAGCACTCTATCTCTAGCTCTCTCTCACTCTCTCTCGCTCTCCTCTCGCGCTCGCTCGCTCGCTCGCTCTCTCTCTCTCTCTCTCTCTCTCTCTCTCTCTCTCTTTCTCACTCTCCCCCTCCTAAACTAACCTCGAAATAACAGTCTCGTTCCCCAATTTTGGTGCTCCAAGTGGATCATCAGCTTTCTCGATATGATCCTTCACCTCAATTCCGCTTTTCCCGATTCCACGCACCCTAAAAAGCGTTTTTCTAGGGTTACGGTAGCCGTCCAACCGTATATCATCCACCTGTACCTGACGAGTGTCCAGAACAAACCCGAATTCGCGCTTGTACGTGCTTCTGAAAAAAGAATTTCGAGCTCCGAAACTTTGGGTTTTACCTGAAATTCTCCATAAACTTTTCGATTGTTTTCGGATCAGCGGGATCAAAATTCGCCGCCGTCATGATGGCGCAGTCCGTCTTGGCATATCGCATATGGAGGAAGCACTCGGCTTCGATGGCTTCGTCTTTGAAGCCCTGCGACTTGAGCTGATCGGTGGTTTGTCTTCGCAACTCCTTGAACCGGTCGGCAAAAAGGGAGAAGTTCTCTAAATTGGACGAGAAATTAGTGATATCCCTCATTGGCGCATTAATGTCACAAAAAATAAGATTCATTTTCCGTAGTCAGCTTTCAAAATCCCCGCTAAAAATCCCCCGCTAATAGTCCAGAACCAAAGTTCCGAATTTTTCGCAATTCGCAAATTCTAAATTCAGAATCGCCACTTTTACGCCGTTATCTTGCCTTGTCTCCCTTTAAAACACCCCTAGAAACCGTACCCTTGGTGAACGGCTTCTGCGCGGGCTCCTGCGCCTCGGCCACGACGTCGGCCAGCGCGATACCGTATGCCGAAAGTACGCCCGAGTACTTGTGAACGAAGACGGAGCGGATGCCGAGAGTTCGGGCGACCGCACAAGCATGTTGAGCTCCTGCTCCTCCGAAGCATGCGAGCACGTGCTCAGAGGTGTCGTAGCCTTTGCCTGGAAAGAGAAATGGCTTTTTCTGCTCCCTATCTCTCTCTCTCTCTCTCTCGCCCTCGCCCTCTCTCTCCCACCTGTGTAAGTGCCCGAATCGGTCTGCACATCTCCTCATTTGCCACCGATATACATCCGAGCGCCACCTCTTCAATCGTGTAGGTACGCTAGAATTGATTGGATGGTCTTTACATGTACTAACTATCCCTTAACTTTATATTAATTTTAATCTACTCGAAAATCATACCTGAACCGCCTCCTTGTTCTCTTTGACGTGTCGATTCACGTCGTCGGTGAATTCCTTGAAAGCCGCCATAGCTGCCTCCCTAATGATATTTTTGAGTGAGTGAGCGAAAGAAAGCGAGAGAGAGAGAGAGAGAGAGAGAGAGAGCGAGAGTGCGAGTGTACCAGAGAGGGAGAGAGAGAACGAGAGAGCGAGGGAGAGAGAGCACCCACTTGTCGAGCGGCTGATCGGCATTTTCACCGAAAATCTTCGGGAAGAAATCGGGCTGAATTCGGCCCAGTACCAGATTCGCGTCCGTCACCGCGAGATAGCCGTTCTAAACGTGAATTTTTAGGCGAGTCGGCCTAAGTAATTAATGTTCCAAACAAAGGAAGTTTAAAAAAATATTATTTTGGTGAATTCCATAATCGAAATGAAACAAGAGTATTAAACTCCATAAACAACCGGTGCCTTGTCAGCGCCCTTAAAAATGTTTGATAATAAAATTTACTTTCTTATACGAGACCGGGCCCGGATGCGCGCCAGCCGACTCGGGTCCCACCACGAACAGGCCGTTACGGAAAAATAATCGCGATCCGCCGCCAGCTGCCACCGTATTGATGTCGAGCTGAAAAATCATTTAATTATACCAGATATCGATCCTTGTTAGCTATTTTTTGGCTCGGCAAGGGGTTTAGTGGTGTAGCGTAGCCAAGCGTGACGCTCAAAGATCTCGCACCTGTGGTGCCTGGATCGTCACTCCGGCTGTCGTCGTCTCCATCACGTGCTCTAGCTCTCCGGAATAGCGACAAACCTAAAAGTGATTCGCCTGCTCTCTCGCGCTATCTTTCTCGCTCGCTCTCTCTCGCTCTCTCTGGCTTTCTTTCGCTCTCTCTCTCTCTATCTTGCTCTCTCTCTCACTCACATCCGTACTCGTTCCTCCCATATCGAATCCGATCACCGGCCTCTTCGTCTTTTCGTCATAGGCAGTACGAGCCACACCAACGACACCGCCAGCCGGGCCCGAGAGGATCGCCCGAGAACCGCAGAAGCTGAACAAATTCATTTTCTTGTGATTATTCGACATATAAAAGCCGTTTTAAGCTTTAGCTTAAGTTTGGAAGCTTGGGGTCACTTAGCTCTCTCATAGTCTCTCTCTCTCTCTCTCTCTCTCTCTCTCTCTCTCTCTCTCTCCCTCTCATTCTCATTTTATAAGTCCATCATCAAATTTCCCCGGAAGTTTACCTTAAATTGCCCCTAAATTCCCCGCGGGGCGATTCAGACATCCTGTTTAATTTTCGCACTCTTTTTGAAATTTTTCGAGGGTCTGTCTGAGCCGGAAGTGGCGAGACTCGAACTTCCATAATCCCAAGGTCGAGCCCCGGCCACGGTCCATTTCCTCTACACAAACTTCCTCCGGAAAATGAGTGGCTTCTCTCCCGAAATTCTTTTCGTCCGGGTCCCCGGGGGGAAAACTTGACTCGACATGGTGCGCCTTCTGGAATAATTGGGGGTGGTCCCGGCGCGCCAAACTGAAGGGGCTAAAACTCAAAAACAACGCGTTTTCTCTTCCGGTTTCGATGGATCATCATTGTCATTTTTCATTTGTTTTTCCGCTTTTTTTCGGACCAAGTCAAAAATTGCTGGTTTCTGCGAAGGAATCGCTTCGGAATGGGCCGGTGAACCCGAATACGAGAAGCTTCAAATAAAGTTTTTGAGTAGAATGGATAGTGAAGACCATTATTACTTGTTAAAAATTATGTTTTGGATCTCCAAGTATATAACGGTTTTAATGGAATCTAAAGTGTAGTATCGGGGCAGTTTACACGAAAATAACTCCTCGAACTCCTACGCTTAAAAATAACGATGCAAAGAAGCTAAGAAGCAGCCAGTGCTCAGCTTTTCGAACATCGTTCATTTGTCGGGGTTCATGAATTTACTTGATATAGTTTGTGGTTAATTTTTATTTTTTGTGCTCTTAGCGAGCTTTTCAGCTAGGATTTGGCTCAATACTTGCTGACTTCGACCCGGAACTCTCTGGAATCGTGCCGCTAGTCCAAAACTAAGCCAATTACAATTTTTCGTTAATCGTTGGCCTCTCTCTCTCTCTCTCGCTCTCTCTAATCTTTTTTTCTTATTGGTTGCTTATTGGTTTCTTCAATCTCTGATTTTTTCCTTCGTTCTTATTTTTTATTTTTTTTTATACAGTAGCTGCCCAAAAACAGAACCTTTCTATGCTTTTCGCATAATAAATAGTACAGTAAGGCAGTATAGTATTTACCTAGCCCAGTAATTAATGTTACCGAGGATCAGCGTGCCTATTCTCAATCTCATAGCTTCCACCGCGGGGGTCAAATGGAATTATTTCGGGCTTTACTAGCCTTGGGGCGGATTTCTGCCTGGAAAAAGCTAAACAACAGCCTGCAAAACTTTCGAAGGCGCCCCATGCATTTTTTCACGATTTCGAAGGGGGAAAACCGGCGCGAGGAGTCGGTTTTTGCAAAAGCCCAGAATCTCAAAATGATTTTTTGGATTGCCAAAAACACATAAACAACGTTTTTGCTTGTAATTTGAAGCTAGGACCGCTTAAAATGGGTATGGTAGCTTTGAGTTCCTCAATAATCTCTGCTAGCTTCACTTTCATAAATTTGCACTTTTCGAATTCATTTTCAAGATTTTAGAATTTTGTACTTCAATAGCCTCTTAAACTTAATCCCAAGCAATGACTGCTAGCTTGCCACCTTAAGAAAATATTTTTTTTGAGATTTAGGATCTTACGGATTTTGCGAATTTCCTAAAAACCTCAGCAAGTCTACCTCGTGTTTTCCACCAAAATCCAGATTTTCGAGTTTTCCAAGGTATTCAATTATCTGCACCCGACCACTTCCACGCGCCAATTAGTTTGTTTACCAATTTTCCCCGAAAAAGCCTGTTTTTTCGGTTTCCTAATAACGTGACTTTTCCACGGACGGCAAAACACTCATATTTCGTTCTGATTGTATTTGGGGGTAGATCGTAGTAAACTACTATTAGTAGCTTATTGTAGCCTGGTGTCTACGGTATCGTAACGTATCGTAGGGACCATAAAAATTCCAGCATTGGTAAGAGTCTAGAAACCCCCCCCAGCCGGCACCAACTTTTGTATCTCGGCCCCCTTTTGTGCTAGCGAGCTCTAAAGTATACCAAAATGTTCGCCGTAGGCTAATTAGTCAGACTACATTGCAGTTCCGTCGAAAAAGGTAGCGAAAAATAAAAATAAGGAAGGTAGAAAAGTTGAAAAGTCGGCTGGGGGGGGGGGTTTCCTAGAGTTGAGCCCCAGCATTCCCTGGAGTTACCAGACAGTTAGAAATTTTTGCGTGTTCTTGGTGTACTTCGGTATACAATAATTTTGCTCCCTCAATCGGTCCTTTGGCATTATCGGGGGAGGGTATAGCTTTTCCCTCGTTTTTAAAGTGATTCAACTTTTTATTATAAATGCACACGCGTTTTTCTCTGCTTTTTTTACTGTTACTAGACGTAAAAACTTTACAAATTTATATAACAAAAAACTCAAATAATATCGATTTTTCGACGCATCCAAAAATTAAAATTTTTTTTTAGATGATTTCGCGCTTGAAATATATTTAAACTTTACTAAAAATTACTTTTGCTATTACAATAATTATTTTTACGTTTGAAACACCTACTATTAAATTATGATACGTTTCTAGACGTGTAGGAAAAACTTATATCCCGACATCCCCCCGATAATGAAAAAGAACCCAAAGCCTTCCGTTTTATTCTGAACCATAAACTTAGAATTTCTGATGCCAATTTTTGCAAAATTCCAGGCTGAACTCTGATCACTAGCGTCCAATTTTCCCCGCCGCCAAACTTCGCGCCTCCCCCAACTTATATGGGGGTGTTTTTCGCAATTAAATTCAAACGGAATTGCCGTTATTTGACCGGAAAATAAAGAATTTAGAGCGGAAAAGAAGGAATAAAAAACAATTAATTAATTCGTTCCCTTCTTGGGACCAGCCCCCGGTTTAACGGCGTTAATTTGTCTGCCCGCCAAACCGCGCGGTGGCAGAACAGAAATTAACATTTTTTTGGCGTGTGTAGGGCTCATTTTTGGGATTTTTTACTATTCCATCGTTACGATTCTTATAAAATAATCCTTATTTAATTTTGAACCATAAATAATTTACCCCATTTAGGTAATAAATTAAAAACTGAATTTCGAGATTTTTCATGGTTTTTCAGGTTTTAAACTCGAAATAAAAGAATTACTTAAAGGGGCCCGGAAGTCAAAATTTATACGTGCGGGGATTGAACCTACGGGTTAAAAACGAAAGGGTTACTGCCGAGAAGAACCAGAAAAGCGATTACGTTGCGAAAAAAAAACGAAAAATATTTGAGTAAAACCGAAAAGTTCTTGGGGCGAAAACCGCTTTTTGAGTGCGCGGCGATTACGCGTCGTAACGCCTTGTAAGCCACCCAGTCTCTCGATCTCGATCATTCTCTGATGAATTTTCATAATTAAAAAGTCTAGACTGATCAAAATTCGACGAGGATTACATACATAGCTTCAGAATTTTGAGACATACGTTTTCACGCCTAAACAGGGGCAAAAGATGATGCGTCGCGGTCGCGTTGCGGCGGCATCTGGCTATTTGCCAGGAATCAACGCGAGGGTCCGTGGACCAGATTTCGGAGCCCCTTTAAAAGATGAATGTAGTCTAAAATCAATAAAAAGCTGGAACATTCATTTTTAATTTAAAAATTAAAACTAGCGATATAATTTGATGCAATTTAATTAATTTTTAAAACCGGTTGCATTTACCAATTTTTAATTTTTTGAAGTTTTTTTTAGTATTTTTAGTCTAGAGTTTATTCTATATTTTTTATTATGTCAAATACTTTGATACTGTTCAAAACATACGGGTTTAAATTTCAAAATGCTGCCAAAGTTCCGTTTTGCAACTGCATTACACTGCCAGAATCTTACGATTCCGCTCTTTTTTCGGATCACAAACTTTGCAGCCTTGTGCTTCCGGTACCAACCGCAAAACCGGAAAACCAAAAAAGATCCCAAACCCCGCGAATCGGATAATCCGTAGAACACCTGACAACACTTACTTGTGCACGTCGCACAACCCGCCATCCGACTGCATGAAATTGACGCGGACGTCCTGGATTTGCTCTGAGAAACCGGATGTGAACCCGCGGATGTATTCAGCGATTTTCGGGGTTAGGTAGGCGTCGGCGCACACTGGAATTACAGTTTTGATGGATCGATTAAAGGTATAGCGCGAACTAGCAGGATTACCTGGCGTGGGCTACGATTCCCCCCCCCTCTGTCTCTCTATCGCTCACTCTCTCATCCTCCCACTCGCCCTCTCTCTCGCACTCTCGCCCTCTCGTGCGCTCTCGCTCTCTCGCTCTCTCTCGCTCCCTCTCTCGCTTCTCTCTTCCTCACTCTCTCCCTGCCTCTCCTTTTTTGCATAAAGCAACCGGTTGGCTTTTCGCGAATGAGGTAACGATAAGGACTATCATTGTCGCTTTAGAGGCCAATTTGTATAACTTTCTTGTCGAATTCGCTTACCAGTAAATCCTCTCGGAACCGCCTTGATCATGGGCATGGCTTTGTGGGAGAGTGAGACATTCTTGAAGCCCAGCGGCTTTGCTAGCTTTGCCACTTGGAGCTCGTGCTCGGGGTAGCTGAAATGGACAATTCTCTGAGTCGAGCTTTTTTCGTTTTTTTTTGTTGCGTTCCAGGCCCCTTAAAATGGTTTGCAAGCGGTTTGGCGAGTTATACTTTATAACTTTATTTTCCTCAGCTCCATGGATGTATCAACGTGCAAAAAGCGCAAAAATCACCCCGTTTCCCACGCCCTCATTACGCTCCAATTCAGCATGGCGCTATTGTTGCATATTTCACGTAGGTTCATTTATCTCGATGCAAACCAACGACTAACGAGCCGGGATTGCAAACGACCGCTCGGCCTATTTGCTAGCATAAGCTAGTCATTTTGCGCGTCATTTGGAGCATTTAGGAGCGATTTATCGCTCTTTATGGGTAAAAAATTGGGCTCAAAATCGTTGAAACGGTTTGTTCGTTTTTACAATACTGCTCATCATAGCGTTATCTAAAACAGCCTTCCCTAATTCGAAAAATTCGTTCTTTGGAGCGCAAAAAACACTTCGTTTCTGGGAAAAGCTCGCTTTCGGCTGCTAGACAGATTGTAATTTGGCCGCGCATCATTTCGCTTTCTCTCCCTCTCTCTCTCTCTCTCTCTCTCTCTCTCTCTCTCTCCCCCTCTCTCCCTTCTTCCACTTGCATCCCAAAGAAACCGAGACCAACATACATATAAGAGTGCAAGAAGAGCACGGCGACGCTCTCGAATCCGCGGCGTCGGATTTCCTCGAGGGAGCCGCGCACCGACTCCTCGTCTAGCTCGTGTTCCACTAGCATCTGAAAATTGCAGATTTTTTTGCAAGTTAGCAGATAGCTATCTTTTCTAGCTTTTCCGGGCTTTAAGACAGGGTCCGAAAGCAACTCTGCTAGTAAGCCTTTTTTTTTGAATTTTTGCTCAGCTATTAGCATTTATCTAATTTCCTGGAAATTTTCTACTTTTTCTTGTTTATTGTTGCTAAAATCTGGTGCATTTTCGAGTTTTCGTATTGCTCAATGATCGTTGCTAGCCTGCCCTTTTCCCTTTCGAAAGTTTGATTGGCGAAAGTACTTAAAAATTTCTGGGAGTTGTAAAATTTTTTACGTTTCATCAAAATCATAATTTCAGCATTCATAATTTTCAAGTTTTTTGGAATTTTCAATGCTTTCCGATACCTTGCCCTCTTTCCCTTTGAGCTCTATAATCATCTATTACCCACCAGACCCTAGTTTTTTAATTGCCATTTTCGCAAAGTCCCACCCCCCGCGCCACTTGGCCGCACTTAACCGAATTTCCAGCCAGGCCCCCAAGGAAAAGGTCAATTTCGCGGAGGTTATTACTTTGTGCGAACGAGAGGACGTAATTTGGAGTTTTTCGGAGCAGTTCAGCGGAACAGATCAGCCCCGAAAATCTAATTCATCCTTTTGAGTTAGATCTCGTCATTTTGAAGCAACTTTCATTTTTATGCAATTTTTAACGTACCTAATCTCATCTATTTTTCTATATTTTTTATACTTCGCCAACCACCCCGGGTGGTACCACCCCCAGGGATGGTTGGAGGGTGGGGCTGGGGGTGGTTGGGGGGTGGTCGTGGGGGGTGGTTGGGGGTGGTCAATGTATTAGCCACCCCACCCCACCCCTTACAAAATTTTTTCATAATTTGGCAATAAAACTTTTCGGTCTTCCGACTACATTGTCTTTGAGGGACCTTATCTGACTCGAACAAGCTTTTTTGCCAGATTATGAAAAAATTTTGTAAGGGGTGGGGTGGGGTGGCTAATGCATTGACCACCCCCAACCACCCCCAACCACCCCCCAGCCACCCCTTTGGCCACCCCCCAACCACCCCCCGCCCCACCCTCCAACCACCCCTGGGGGTGGTACCACCCGGGGTGGTTGGCGAAGTATAATATTTTCGGTTTTTACATCTTGTTTTTCCGGCTTTGAAAATGCTAGAAAACCGAGTACGCCACTCCAAATCACGAACCTTTTGCCCGTTTGTAGCCGTGGCTTCGCGGCCCAGATTTTCCATCTGACATCTTGGATTTGAGGGTACCACCCTTTCATCGACTTCAAAGACTTCAGAATAGAGCACCTAAAATATACAAGGTTTTAGTTTTGTAAACAGATAGCCTATGTCAAATTAATAGATACTAAATTATTAAAACTATTTATGTTACCTCCGGGATTTTGATGTCAAACTCGAAAATCTTCGGCCTCGACTGGTTGCCGATGAAGAGCAGATCTAAAATGTTGGATTACTGTATTCATAGTTCTATCGGTTGAGTCTTATTCTTCGTTGAGTCATAGTCTTAAAGTGGTTGAGTAGCGTAGCCCAGCGTATATAGCCTAGCAGATTGCACGCCTTTTTGCGCTACGCTAGACGTTCGAATGTACGGCGACGAATTACTGCGTACTTTACGCGGTACCGGTTACACTAGCTAATTCACCTGTTCAGTCCATAGGAAAATTCGAATACTGTAGCTGGATGTAGCCTAGCGTACTCGATGGGATTTTTATTACGGTATCTTATGGACCATTACTGCTAATACTAGAGCCCAAACATCCGTATTGTAGCGTAGTCTAAGGTCGCCGATACGCATAGATTATAAAGCTACGCATTATTTCAGATATGATAGCTATTCGTGAGGCGGATAGTAGCGTACTGTAGCCGTTAGAGCGCTAATGCGTGCTCGATGACGCTATATTACGCTAATGTGCGCTTTTTGTCAATAGTAAAGTATTGTATAATATCATATTGCATAATATCATATTTTAAGTTAGCTGGCCAATGCACGTAGCACTTTTTAAGAATCGCTAAGTATAAAGTAGCATAGTGTAGCTTTAAAGTCGTCCGAATATAGTGATTACGGTATCTAATCTCTTATTTTCGTGAAGTACAGTTTACAAGGGGGTCGTAGCGGTGTTTTTCCTATTGAAAGCGGTATCCACAACAAGTACGGTGGCGTCAACAGTACAGTTTGTAAAGGGTACTATGTCGTACTCTACAATACTCTATCTTACTCTACTATATTTATACCTTTAAAACCCTTGGTAATCAAAAGCGCCATCGGCTCTCCCTTTCTCTCCAAAAGCGCATTCGTGGCCACCGTAGTCCCCATCCGAATCCAGGCAATGTTCTCTGGAAAAACAACGTATTTGTCCCAACTTTTCTCACAACCACCAATCCGCCCTTTAAAAGCGTAAACAATTAATAAAAGGGCTTGGAAAGCACCTGGGGTTTTTGTCGTATCTTTCACCCGGAAGTCTGGTAATTCGGAGGAAGCCCTGTTTGGTGCCCTTCTTTATATGATTGCCAGGTTCCCTAGTCTGTCGAAATGTCCCAAATTGTCTTTCCTGGTTTGCCCTTCAAGTGCCAGATTTTTACTTGTTTTTGGATCTTCGATAATTGCTTTTTAAGCAAAAATCGTGTCTAACTGTAACGTGTTTTTACTCAAGTTGGAGTTTCGATTTGGGACCAAGTGCATCTTGTGCAGAATTTTTTGCTGATAACGAATCCGTTTTCCAAATTTGCTGCGGACTTTTATTTAAAAAGTCATTTTTGGTGCAAATTACGCTTGAAAAAGCCAAAAATTCGGATCATGGTCCACTATTCCCTCCATGGGGCCCTGAAGTACTCTGTCACAGCTCCCCTCCCGGTTGGCACCATGGTGCATTGGCAAAGTACTCGCTTGCCAAGCGCCGGGCGGCGGTTCGGATCCCCGCCCTGCACCTTTCTTTTGCTTTTTGCATAAAAAAATTTAATTTTTTATAAAAAAGCTTGTTTTGATTTTTAAGATGCTTGTCTAGCCAATCTCTAGCAGATTGGGAAGTTGAAATTGATCAGGTAAATCGAAAACGATAACGGTTCCTTGATTTTGGTGAAAAACACTACCATAACTGCTGTATAACTTTCAAAATAAAAGTCCGCAGCAAATTTGGAAAGCGGATTCGGAATCAGCGAAAAATTCTGCACAAGATGCACTTGGTCCCGAATCGAAACTCCAACTTGAGTAAAAACACTTTACAGTAAGACGCCAGGTAATACGGAAAAAAAACTTATTTCTTGGGAATTTGCCAGATGTCGCAAAGAATATTTGCTAGATTCGGCTCAAAAATCCCTCAATTGCTTGTTTTTGAATTTTCCTAAACATTTTTAAAGTTAGAGTTATTTTAGTATCTTAAAATATATTTTGACGACATGTTGATCTAGCGATTATCCGTTATTTTCTGACTCAACTACCGTAGCTAAAAATACCGTAGCCGGATTGACTTCCCAGTCCCTTTAACCGTAAGAAAATTCGAACCTGTAGGTATTGGGGTCCCGCGTGGAATCTTCTGTTTTCCCTCCTCTTCCAGGACTCGTCTAATCGCTTCGGTCGGGGCATCGGCATAGTTGTCCGGGTCTTCGCTCAGCAATTTCAGTACACTAAATTAATGAAATTTCTATAACTTTCCTTAAGGGCGTACCGGCAAGTTTTGTACACGAAAATTGCGCGAATGGGTTTTCTGTCATCACCATGGTCAACAAACGTGAAAATTTTCTTTCATATTGCCACGATTCTTAGATTACGACATGAAATACATAACGATTTACTGATCAACTTGAGACGTTACGACATGAAATGGCTACCAATCCTAGGTGTCACGCTCCCTTTAACCTCCCCCACTCACCGTGTCCTCCCATCCGGATAGAATACACAGACGTCAGTGAAAGTGCCACCCCGATCGACGGCAAAACCGATTTTCGTCATTTTCACTTCTTTTTCTTCGAAAAGCACCTGAAAAAATAGGAAATCATTAACTGGCCGGTATAATTGGTGTGTGGAATGGAAAACAACAATTTATCGCAGATTCTGGATTACTCTATTTCGCACAGAAAAGTGAACATTTCTTGAACATTGTTCATACATTTCTGACCAAAAATTCAAAAATTCTGAAATTTTTATAATTTTGTATGCGCGTTTGTCTAAAAAACAGTAGACTCCCATGGAAACAATTTATATTTTGCTAAGAAGACGTACGAGATTATTAGAAAACATTTTAACCCACCCGCTAAGTGAAAAGCTCCGGATTTAAAGCGGGAGGCTTCGGAATTCCAAAAATTTAAAAAATTCCAAAATTACCAGTCGGTTGGTGGACAAGATGCGTAGCTATTAACCAGGCTTTTTAAGCCACGCATTTCAAGCAATAAATGGAGCTTTATGATCAAAAATCAACTAAATAAAATTAATAAAGTTCACACTTTTTTAAGCTACGCATTTCAACCAAAAAAAAACGATGTTAAACAAGAATTAACCTAAAATATGCTTAAATGAAGTCTGAAACTTTTCTCGGCAAAACGTGGTAGATTAGGTAAACATTAGTGCATGGATCCATTCATCCTGGAATTGATAGGGGATAAAGTGGCGTTTGTGGGGGATTGGGAAAAAGCGGAAAAGAAGACAAGACACGACCAGGGAGCTGGTCAGCAAAAGGTTGACCCGGACAGCGTATCGCTTCTCTCTCTTTCTCTCTCGCTTTCTCTATCTCTCTCTCTCTCTCTCTTTATGGGGGCAAAAGGCTCGAGATAGCAGAGTTTGCAGAAACAAGAAATGACTCCCGCTCCGCTTGACAACCAATAACATCCCCTGCCCATTTCGAGTCCAAACAACAACAAATTCCCCAGGAATTAGCAGGAAATTAAGAACGTTCTCAAAAATCAGGCGAAAGGGCTAAATTACATTTAAATTGTTGCTATTTTGGTTTTATATACGCAGCGTTTCATTTTTATGCAGCCCTACAGTGTTAATAACCATTAAAGTATAACAAACAAAGCTGGGACGTAATGGGATATAGATGCATTTTCCCCAAAATGACGCCTAACATTTGAACGTACCCACGAAACGAGTGCATTGCTCCATTTGGCCCCGGGCGATGCACCCGATCAAGCTATAAAACACCTCCGGTTATTGCCAGGCGCGACTAAGCATTAATGATTATTCTGGCCGAGAGATCGGCCGCAAAATTGCGTATTTTGCACGAGGGCACGCAAGCGTACGGACACGTACGGCGGTGTACAGGCGCCTACAGAAATGTACACGGCCATCAAAAATCGCACAGGCCCGTAAAAAGATCGATGGGGCCATACTAAGCAGAAGAGTAAGGATCAGGCAAATACCTACATAAGCGTATAAACATATACGAAAATGTACGTGAGCGTACATAACGGAACAGAGCGGACATCGCCGTACAAGAGCGTACCAGAGCGTACCAGAGCGTACCAGAGTGCAAATGCGCATGAAATGGTCGGCAGGGTCATACAGGCAAGTCCAGGCGCATCGCTTGGCAAAGCGACGTACTTCGTAGTGCGCGTACAAGAGCTCCTGTGGGTGTATGTGGTCCTAGAAGGTCGTACTAGAGCGTATTAAGGCGTACTACGAATGCTCTCGACCCGTGTGCGTCCCGACACGATCCGGTTCTACCCGGAATCCATCGCCCCTTTCTGCCTTTAAGCTTCCTTTAAAACATCCGTCATCCAAACTAGAGAAAGGTGTAAAAACCAACGTCTCGCTGCGGTTGCCAAGCGCAGAAAAAGCAGAACCCGAAAATCTAGAGAACGAGACACGCATTTGGTCGGGCGCAGCGTCACCACTTTTGCAAATTTGGAATTTGGAAGTCGGAATTCGTGTTCCATTCTTAATTTCTGGCGTTTTCGGGTCGTTATAGAAATTTTTAACGTTCCGTTTTCCTCTCTAGGACTCCAGTAAAGCATTGAAGAGCAAGTTTAGGTGTTTTTCAAGAGACGTAGATTTTTGGACTGAATTTTCTTGAACAATCAGACGTTTTTCGCTTTTTCGATTTTTCAAGTTTCCAAAGCTTAATTTTTGCGTTGTTTATTTTTGTTTTCTATGACGTTTTCTTGAAAGAATTTCAGAAATTTGAGATGTTAGAAATCAAGACGTTCATTTCTAGGTGGCATACAGAATGCTGGTCCGACTACTCGTCCTGCTCGCCCTCGTCGCCACAGCGCTTGGATTCTTGGAGCACCGCTACAGGAAGTAGGAATTCAACAGATCTCGCACAAAATCACGAAAATATGCAAATTATGTGTTTTTAGCGGTTTCCGCCACTTTTACCAGGGCCAACCCGTCGAGCCGAGCTACCAGCAGTGGGTTATCACACTTTTTAAAAAAATTTAAACCCAACTACGGCTAATTTAGTAAAAAGCAATCAAGACAAAACTATTGAATTTCAATTGAAGTGATGTTGCTAAATAAAAAGCCGCCGCATTTAATAATTTAATCAAAATAAAAACTCCAAAATTTAGCAATGGAAATCAAGAATTCTTAAGCGGTTAAATCAATTTTCAAGGATTACAGGCAGTAGCCAAGCCATAGAAAAACTGATTATTTTTTTACAAATTTTTAGGTACTACGGTAGCGATGGCGACGAGCTGGAGCGCGAGATTCGGGCGGTTGCAGGTGGATTTTTACAGCAAAAATTACCAAATTCTTTTTTCGGTTTTTGTAGAGTACTTTTCGCAGTACTTTTTAGCATATCATAATTTAAATCGATAACAACGAAAAATAAAAACAATAATTGATTTTTCGTAATTTTGTACTAATATTAAGTGCTCTTTAACGAGAACTTTTTAATATTTATAAAAAGAATGAGCTGCTACCAATAATAACATCGATTATTATTTTTTGATTAGTACAACTTTTATTAAAGTGTTTAATAATATTTTTAGTTTTTTAAAAAGATAATTTGAATTTACGAGCTACACACTACAAAATCTTTTTCCAGCAGTCGGCAACGGCCGTGAGCGCGTGTTCCCCTTCTACTCGGGCATCGGCAAGGGAAGGAAATAAGTGAAATAATTTTTGTATTGCATGTTTTTATTAGCTAATTCGCTATCTCACTCTCTCTCTCTCTCTCTCTCTCTCTCTCTCTCCATGTTATCACGGATCTCTACACATATTCCCTGAATTTCCCTTGGCAAGCAGCGGCCCCCTCTCCCTCTGGTGTGTCGATTGTATCATAACGTTGGCCCGTGTGCGTGCGAATAAATTGTGTCGTGTTTCTGGCGCTCAAATTTGCAATTTATACTGGCGTTTATGCTTATAACTTTATTAGTTTTATTGGTTTTAAACTAGACTAGCCTTTATTTAGTTTTAAGTTTAATTTCATTAGTATGATAATTCAGAGGAGCTTTAAATTGTCCTGTTTGCATTTTTATTTTTAGTTTTTTTGTCTTTAGGTTAATTGGCGAAAAAGATTTATTGAATTGGTGACTTTTAATGTGAATAATTAGGCAATTCTTGGAGCATCGCCACATGAATTTAGAACTTTCCGCATTTGCCCTTGACGCATGCTGAAATTGACAATTTAGCTTTGCTATTTATAACATTGGTTTTCTTAATTTAATTTTGGGGTGATGAAATTTAAATAGTTTGAACTCAACGGAAAATCTATACGAAAAATTGGCGCTCAGAATGGAGCATTTTTACCAAAAAAAATAGCAAGACCCACCCAAGCTCTGCTCCAAAAGGGCCGAGTTGATGTCGCGCACTTTCTCGAATTGGGGCTGGCCTAAAATCATATAAATTTAAAGAATTCGTGTAAGGTTCGGACCCAAAGGCAGCTTTCCGGCCTCTCCATCGTCGGCCCTCGCCTTGTCGAGCTCTGAAAATTTTGATTGACGTGAAGTTTTTAGGGTTTTTTAGGATCGCGACACAACTTTGATTTTTACCGCACCGCACTTCGACACGCAACGCGAACCGAAACGCTTTCGCAACGTGAAAGGGAAAGTGATCCGCTGCAACGCGACACGCAACGCGACATGTGACGCGATATGCAACGCTACACGCAAGGCTACATGAAACGCGACACGCCACGCGATCCGCAACCCCATGCACTACGGCGGTACGCAACGCGATTGTCAACTAGAACGTGAAACGCAACGCGGCACGCAAGACGGAACGCAATGCGACATGCAACGCGACACGCAACGCGATACACAACGCGACAGGTAAAGCGATGTGCAATGCGATATGCCATGCGACACGCACCGCAAAACGCCACGTATTACGCAACGTGATAGGCAGGGCGAGTTGCAGCGTGGCACGCAGGCATTAAGAAACGCGATAGGCAACGCGATGCGTCACTGCCCGGCGCCACCGCCAAACGCATGGCCACAAGCAGCGCGACACGCATTGTGAAATGCAACGCCGTACGCCACTCGATACGCAATGCGACAGGCGGCGGGCACCGCGACCCGCAATGCGGCACTCAACGCGACTGCCAACCAGGTTTACAAGGCGAGACCAATACCTCAAAACGTACTCTTCTGCAGACAATCCGTGATCTTCTCGAGGTCGGGGCTGCCCTTGGCCGCGGCGACGACCTTCTGGTGCTCGGCTAAACAATATTAATGATATTTTTTCCTCATTTTCTAGATAGGTATCATCAGTGAGCTGGTGAAAAATCGCCTCCTCACCGTCAAACTTCTTCAGTTTCCCAACGAACTCGTCATGGCCAAGGATCTCGCTGCGAAGGGCCTCATTCCAAGGACCCAGGGCCGCGCAGAATTCCTCTAAATTTCGTTATTTTTTATGGTATAAAATTTTGAACAAACTTTCCGCTGCGTTGCTTAGGACGGCAAGAGCGGCGCTGAAAAGTAAAATATCTTTTTTAACAACTGATGAATACTGATTTTAATTTTATATGGATTTTTGCAGTTCGTGCCTCAAAACTATGCAAAAAAGACCATTACATCGAAATTAATTTAATTAATTAAATACGAATTAAAAATACCAAGCCAAAGCGAGCAGGAGGTAGGAGGATGACATCTGAAACGGTTAGATTATTTTTTTGCAAGCTAGATAAAACGTCAAAAATCTGTGCAATCCGTATTAATCTTTCAATCAAAATATTTTCGGATGTTTTCCCGGGATTTTATTAAATTAATTGTTTTTAAATACGAGACGGAACTTCGATACTGATGATTTCCGGGTAGCCCCGCTGTTTAAGTACCACCCAAATGTTCTCTCGATTTTTTTTGAGCGAAGAAAGCCCAAAAAACGGCTTGTTGGCGGAACTCCCTTGATGGATTGCCGTCAAACTACGTTTTTTGGACGAAGGGCCAGTGATAATTGTACATTTTCCGGACCGTTCGTTCCGCCGGGGGTCCTTGGCGTTTGAGATCTGCAAAAGTGGCTCGCTGTTGACCTTCAGCTCGTTTTAGGCTGTCTTTAAGCAGTTTTGTCAATCGAAAACGTCATTTAAAGGGGCCACGAAATGCCAAAAATTGAGCGACGGCCCGAAAATCGCAGCCCGATACGTCGGAGGCCTCTGTACACCCCAGGGGCCCGGGAAGCTCGCAAATTTGAAATTGCCTGTTGTCACCTCGCAATCACGTTCTCGGCTGATTCTGGGCCAAGTTTGATGCTTAAAACACTAAATCTATTTAAAATTAAGTGAGCATTTCAAAAATGGGCTCAGAGTGCGCAAATTATAGTGCTTTCACAAAGAAACCGGGCAAAAACAACTTCGCGCAAAAATCGAAAGAGTGAGGGCTCTCGTCCCGCAGCGCCCGCTGGCAATTTGCCAGAAATCAAAGAGGCCTTTCAAACGGGCTTTGAATTGGCAGTTCCGAGCCCCTTTAATGGATGATATAACGGGATCGGGAAAGCATTACGGAATTGTTTTTTGACTGTTTGTTTTTGACTCCATGAGTTTGACCACTGCGCGACACGCAACGCACATTCCCGTTCCTGGGATTACGCTTCCATTGGGAGCGCGATTTGGTGCGCGTTGCGTGTTGCGGGCGTGGAATGAAGTGAAACGCGCCGTAATAACTTGATCGAGACCACTGCCAGGCTATCATGAACGGAACCGGAAAGCCCGATCTACGCTTTTTTTTCAGCTGTGTACTCCCATGTGTCTGCCGCACGCGATGCGCGACTTGTACGCCTTCCAGTTGCGTCACTGATTTAGAGTAGACTCCTCAAAAATCGGCGCGGCGCGGCAAAACGCATAGTGGTGCTGTGAACGCTCGCTAAATGGAGATCACGAATCGAACGAATTGGCTTTAAAAGGAAATAAGGTAAGGTATCATTTTTACCCCAATAAAAACCCTTAAATCTCTGATTTAATTTCCAAATTGTAGTGCTTTGATTTTTCACGGTTTACACTCAACCTCGACTCGTTCATTGCTTCGTTGATTTAAAACGACAATAAAAAAATTTCTATCTTTCGTGTACGTTTTCTTTTTTCAGACATCCCCAAAACGGTCACAAGCTTCACCTTTCTTGCCTTTTTTAGCGAAGACATCGCCCGGGTTTTGCGACTTTGGCCAATGAATTCAAGGGGGGGGGGGGCTTCTGCGTCTACCCACCCGCCCCAGTCGACGAAACAAAGGAAATGTTTTGCAACGAAAGGCACGGCCACGAGCACAGTTCAGACCCGACAAACGAACCGGGTTTTTTTTGGGGGAAACGTATTTGTGTCCGGAGATTGCAGAGTGCAACGTGAGGAAGCGGTGAGTACGGGAATGATCTTTGGAAAGAAGGAGGGAAACTCTGAACTTTGCCGCTATGGAAGTGGGATTGCGCGTTAATCGACCAACTGATAGATCAATACGTCAAGAGGTGCAAAGCGAGGAGAGAGAGAGAGAGAGAGAGAGAGAGAGAGAGAGAGAGAGAGAAAGAGAGAGAAATAGGAGAGACAGGGTCCGAGGGAGCGAGAGAAAGAGAGTGAGCGAGAGAGAGCTAGAGAATGCGTGAGTGAGATAACGATAAGCATGAGCATTTTTTTGTAAATGTTTGGCTATTGAAACCACACTTACATGCCCCTCTTTCTCTCCCGCTCTCTCTCTCTCTCGTCTCCCTCTCTCTTTTTTCTCGGCGCTTTGATGGTTGCAGCCCGAACTAAAGTTGCCAAAAAGCCAACAGGTTATCTAAGCACTATCTAAAAAATTATTTATGCTAATTTTACGACTAAATCCCGTTTTATTTTTTTATTGACGTTGATCTTCCTGATCCCCTTCAACCAAACGCCAATATCCCCCAAGTCCTGAAGTGCTTTTTTGTGCAATGATCCACCTTTTAGACTAGCCGTCGGGGGTCCACCCGAACAAACACCCCCACCAGCCCCTTCCCATTGAAAGTCCGCGAGGTGCGCGATGAATTTTTAATTCACGCGCTATTCTGGATACGGTAGTTCAGAGCCGACAGAAACGGGAACAACCCATTTTTAGGGCCCTTTCTATTGCAATTTCGATGAAATGGACCGAATATCGCTACCGGCAGCCGTTTTATTAATTTTTTGTATTTTTGCTGGGATCGATGGGGTAAATTACGATTTCTATAAAATTTAATTATATTTTTTAATTGTTTTAATAGTGAATTTTAGCAAATGACGGTGAACCCTATCGCGGGACTTTCTCCGGTTGGCTGTCCGAATTATGGCCTTTGCACGGGTAATATGTATAATACCTCACTCACCTACTACCAATGTATACCCGGGTATTGCGAGGTAAGCAAGCCCAAGCTAAGCCTAAACTAAGCCTAGGCTAAGCCGAAGCAAAGCCTAAGCGAAACTTAAGCCGAGCCTAAGCCAAGCCTAAGCTAAGCCTAAGCTTAGCCTATGCTAAGTCAAGCCTAAGCTAAGCCTAAATCGAACCTAAGCCAAGCCTAAGCCAAGCTTACGTTAAGCATTAAAAGTCAAATTTAGTGCAATAACGGGACGAGCAACAATGCTACGCTCGGCACCGCCGGAGATTGCGCGGAGAGTGGGTTCTACTGTCATTCAAGCCACGAAACCTGTTGTGGATAAAAAATCGAAAAAGCAGGCTAGCAGAGGTTCTTTGAGAAATTGCCTTTCCCTTATCGATGCATTAATAGGCTGTTTTCGTTGCGCAAACAAAATTTAACGGGGCCGTTAAGAGCAAGAATTTAGTCGCCGATATCTGCGCCTCAAGCCCATGTGGTTCAAATGGTGTCTGCTCACCGTCAATAAATTATTACGTCTGCTCATGTATCTCGCCGTACACGGGGGCGTACTGTAATGAAACAGGTTCGTGGCCACAAGTATTATTTTTATGCCAATTTAGCGACAAGTTCTGACCCTTGCTCTTCCTCACCGTGCCAGGTAGGTTCAAACTGTCCATTTCTGCCATGTTGAAATTCATTCCAGTGAAAAAGTGAAATACTGAAAGGCCATTATATAGCGCATTGCAAAATTTAACTTTAAAATTAAACCCTCAAGGTTTAGAACGGCGGAACCTGCAAAAGCTCCAAGGGAAACGCGACCTGCTCATGCTCGAATAAATACACTGGAGCGTACTGTCAATGTAAGCTAGTTTTTGGGTCGAAGTGATACCTTAAACAATTCGCTCACATATCTATCACATTTTTAACCATAAATGGTCCCTAGAAAAATGTTTCTAAATTTTTCTGGATAATTTAAGTTTTTTTAGCTTTGATGGCATTTCTTCTATGGCTTGATGCCATAATTTATTGGGTATGATTAGTTTAATCATTATTTAGATTCAAACACGTGCAACTCTAACCCTTGCAAAAATGGCGGCACCTGTCAGATGCTGTTTAATGGAGCCCAATCGTAAGAATTTTCCTGGAAACCTGAAGGCTGGAACCTTTAGGTATTGCTCCTGCCCAAGCGGATACCGGGGGGCGCTTTGCGAAGTCAGTAGCACCACTGGTAAGTCCTTTGAAGGACTATGGAAGTCACAGTACGCTTGCTTTCAAATTTCGCGATTTCTCCGCCGGTAACCGCCTACAAAACGGAAAAAAACAAGAAAAACCCAGCTTTTAGCCGACGACACGTCCCTTGGTTGCTACACGTACACAAAGAGCAAATTGAGCAAGTGCAGCAGCGAAACGAATAAACAGCCGTCTGTGGATTTGTAAGTTTTGTTTTGTTAATTGGAAAATTTTTGGAAATTCAAGATTGTCAAGAGTCAAGATTTTGGATGAACTGTCGGTATTTACCGTAAGAATCGGTGCTGGTTAGCGGCAGCGGAAGAAATTGTTATAATCCGAAACTATTGAAATCGTTATAAAAATAATTTGTATTGATCGGCGTCGGAGTTTAAGCTCAAGAAAGGAAACGCACGTTAGCTACTCCCGGTACTGGAGTGTTAGCGGGGGGCTAATCCCCCCGCTAACGACCCAGCACCAGAAACCACCAAAATTTTTTCCAAAGAATGTCGTTTCATTAAGTTTTTAGATGTCGGAGTGACTTCCAAACGGCCGCCGGCAAGGACAACGGCCTCAGCTATTACTGTAAGTTCGCCTTCATTTCCAAAAATTTTAACTATCGAGAAAATTGTATGCATTGCTCAATTCTACGTCTTTCCTAGGCACCTACGGCGGCACGTGTTACTTTTGCGACGACAACCCGTACGATGGGGTGTCCACGAGCTCGGGAAGTGGATGTACGGCCAAGTGTTCGGCAAGTGTCAGTGGACTCGGCACCAGCACTTCATATTCTGGGTAATTTTATAGCGTAAACAGTGAATTTTAAAAATTCTGAGATTTGCAGGGTCACCTTGAGAACAATACGCGCCTAATGACGAGATTTTTAAAACTTACGATTCTCAAGCGCTACGAGCGACGACTATTTTCGAATTTTTAGAATTTAATACTTTTGTTATAGGAAATCGATAAAGATTTTCAAATCAAATTATTCAAAAAACTAAATGCCTAAATTCATGAATTAATTCTAGATCCTCGGAAATCTGCGGGAGCTCGAGCAGCGGCAACCAGCGCGTCATCTGCTACGAGTATTCGGACCTCGGTAATTCTCTATTTTTTCTCTTTCTCACTCTCCCACTCTCTCTCACTCTGTCTCTTGCGCTCACTCTGTCTCTCTCTCTCTATCACTGGCTTTTTATCGCTCTCTCTCTATCTCTCTGGCTTACAATATGTTTTCAGTGGATCCACTCGTCTGTACAACGACCACATGTGACAACGGTGGACAATGCGTCGACCTGGCCGGCAATTCCACATCTTGTCTCTGTCCAGTGGCGTATTCCGGAACTTTTTGTGATATAGGCAAGTTTTAAAGGAACCGGCAAGTGACAAATTAGCTATGGATCCAACTCCAAAATTAATCGTCATTTTTAATGAGATGAGTTGGTTGCGTGTGTACAGTTATGTTCTAGTAGGGCTCAGTTGACCTATTAAATCCAATTTCTACATCCGTTAAGCCATTAAAAACGTCGAAAAACAACGTTTTCAGCCGATTACGCTATGTAAATCCCTTCAGAAAACAATCCCTGCGACCCGAACCCGTGCCAGAATGGTGGCAGCTGCTCGAATGGCACAGATTTTACATACGGTTGCTCGTGTCCGGCTGGGTATACTGGGACTACATGTCAAAGTATGGCTTAATTAACATAAATCAAACGGCTTAGTACGATTCTAAACGTTTTAATATGTAATTTTAGCCAAAATCAAGTGCTCCTCCAGCCCGTGCCAATACGGTAGCGTCTGCATCGACTCGGCCGATTTCTCGAGCTACTCCTGCGTCTGCTTGAGCCTTTATACAGGCCAGAACTGTGATAGTAAGTAATTAGCTCACTCTCTATAGTTTTCTCTCTCTCGCTCTCTTGCTCTCTCTCGCTCGCTCCCTCTATCTCTAACAATTTCTCGCTTTTTGTCACTCTCTCTCGCTCTCTCTTTCTCTCTCTCTCTCTGTCTTTCTCTCTCTAGCTCTCTCTCTTTCTCTCTCGATCTCTCTCTCTCTCTTGCTCTCTATTTCTACTCTTAAATTTAGTTCCCAACATGTGCATCTCGAACCCGTGCGTCCACGGTACCTGCTCGGTCGTGTCGAACTCCTTCGATTCCACCTATCAATGTACATGTCAGGAGGGCTGGACTGGAACGACATGCGATGTTGGTAAGTGGGACATTAAGCTATAAACTTTAAGTATCCGAGAACTAGTAAAATCGAAAATTTAGCCATCGACTTCTGCTCCTCAGAACCGTGTTTCTACCAGGGGACGTGCACTACGGTAAGTTATGGAGAGAGAGAAGGATGGAGAGAGAGACAGGACGAGAGAAAGAGAGGGAGAGACAGAAGAGAAAGAAGAGAGAAAGCAAGATAGAGCGAGAGCGACTAACGGTTTTTTTCCAGGTTAGTCCTCCTGCCGATCCATGGTACACTTGCGTTTGCCAGCCAGGAACTTCTGGACCCAGCTGTGAAATCAGTAAGTTGGAGAGAGCGAGAGAAAGAGAGGGAGAGAGAGTGAGAGAGTAAGAAAGACAGACAGAGCGAGAGGGAGAGAGAGTGAGAGTGACAAAAACGTTCAGATCCCGATGACTGTATCTACACCACGACAAACAAGGTCAAGTACAGCCCCTGTAATACTACAGATAAGCAGGTAAATCAGCTTAGAAAAAACCGAGAAATTTGACTGCAGGGCCAATGCATCGACGGTTTCAACTCGTACACGTGTTCTTGTGGTCCAGATTATACATCTGATGATTGTACGATCCGTAAGTGACCCCTAAGGTTACGGTAGTAAATCCACGTTTTAGCCATGATTGTCTGGAACGCCACGATCATCATTTTTGGCGAGGGTGCGACTGTTGGGAGCGATTTGATCAGTGTAAGGCTTTCAGATTTTCCAGAATTTTCTAACAGGTCTTTGCTAGTTTGTCCTCAGAATCCAAGATTAAATATTTCAACTGGTCTCTGCTAGCTTGCCCTAAAGGGACAGGCTTTATCGGGTAATTCCTAAATCGTCTCTGCTAGCTTTCCTTGAAAACTCGAAGTAAAAATTCTTTGTTAATTTAGCTGCTCACCGACTTGCTGAGCAACCCGGCCAACATTGCCGACATGGTGCCGTTTATTTTGGGAGGTGACTCGGTTGAGGAAAGGTACGGAAAAAGCTCTCTCACTGTCTCGCGCTCGCTCTATCCCTCTCTCGCGCTCTATCTCTCTCTCTCTCTCTCTCTCTCTCTCTCTCGCTCTATCTCTCTCTATTTTTCGCCGACAATCATAGATTTTGCTTTTTAGGGAATCGTTCAGCTACAGCTTCACGGACATGTTCGCCTGGGCCGCTTATGAAGAGCATACCCTCACTTTGGAGTGAGTCTCGCTGGCTAAAATTTTTTCGACTCTTTGTGACGACGACCTGACTTTTCTTAGTGGCTTTCTGGATGCTTTAAATTCCTATAAGCGGCTTCAGACGCGACATGTACATGTGGAATGACGTGACGCTCGGGAATTGTTTCACCTTCAACCATCGAAACAACACCCAGGCTCAGTACTTGGGGAGGATGACAGGGAGAACAGGAGGTGAGCAGTCACTTCAATAGCCCTTTAAAGTCAAATTCAGGACTTTACGCAATGCTCAAAATCAACCAGGCCGAGTACTGTCCGTGGATCGAAACGTCTGGAATACAGGTAAGAGGTCAAAAACGTAACTTAATCGGTTAGAAGAGAAAGGCGAGAATTAGGTTAAAAATTCTTTTAAACCTATTAAAAACCCGGAATTACCTAGGTATTCGTTCACGCTGCTGAAGAAGACATCTTCTCGGAATCTGTACGCTACAATGCCCAACCCGTCGGCGAGACGGAGCTTTTTCCATCGTTGGTGAGTAATTAGCATAAACGCACTCGCTTGCTCTTTCTCACTTTCTCTCACTCGCTCGCTCTCTCTCTCTCTCGCTTTTTGTCTCTCTCTCCCTCTCTTCATCTCTCTCGCTCGCTCGCTCGCTCTCTCTCTCTCTCTCTCTCTCTCTCTCTCTCTCTCTCTCTCTATCTCTCTCTCTCTCTCTCTCTCTCTCTCTCTCTGACCCAACTCTTCAGACAGCCTACACCCGTCTTGGCGGTCGCTACGGTACCTGCGTCCATGACGCCACCGAGGTCAAACAGTACTACTACACGGGAGCTTATGATACTGATGTACGTCTTTTTTTCTTAGTAAATCAAAATCGACTTGTAGGGCTGCATCCGCTCGTGCTACCAGGAAGCCGTCCAAGAAAGTTGTGGCTGTATGGATCCGCGGTATCCGATGGCAGCGACGGCGACAGCATGTAGCTTGACCCAACGTAAGTTTTTGCACGTCTTCGGGCGCTTACTGTCGAAATTTGGTGTATTCTATCATGAGTTGGACAACGCAAAGCTCCTCTGTACATCATCGTTCCAGGAACCTGCGTGAACGACATCGACGCGTTGGGCGACCCTTCGACTTGGCCATCATGTGTCTGCCCTCAAGCCTGTACCCAACGGGTCTATGATGTCGATACTTTTACGAGGACTATCTACTCGATTAGTGTAAGGATTTTTGCAGTCTTTTTCATGCTTATCGTCTCATGCTCACTCTCACGCGCATCAGCTCACTATCGTGCTCAGCATTCTCTATTTCTCTGCCGCGAGCTCCGACTTTCTCCCGATCTCGGTCTCGACTAAGGTGGTGGCGACTCGCCAAGTGGTCTGCTGAGACACGAAACCCTAGGTCTTGAGATGAGTGTCGACACCTGGCCAGCGGAAGGGGTCGATTCGATCACTTCCCAGTCGCTTTAAAAGGTTTAAAGAAGTTTTTTAGCCAGCCCAAGAGTGCAGCCTGACGAACAACGCTGCAAATTGTACGGCTGGGATACAGGATACAGTACGGGTAGCCGTCACGATGACCGATTACACCTATCAACTATACGCGGAAGTGGCGGCGGAAAGTGTATGTTTCCGGAAGAGACAGAGGGACAGGTAGAGAGAACGGCGAGAGAGCGAGAGAGAGGACGTAATCCATTTTGTTTTCCAGTTCAACAGCTTCATCGGTTCACTTGGAGGACTCCTCGGCGTGTTGATGGGTGTTTCAATGATCTCATTCATCGAAATCGGTTTCCTTTTCGCGTCAATTTTCGTGGCGTTGTCAGAAAAAAATAAGGTGTAAAAAATAAAGATGTATGCTGATTTTATCGTGACATCTTGATGCACTCGGAAGTTTCAGTAAAATAAATATCAGTCGAGAGCAAAATGATCATTAAATCGGAGTGGGAAATCGGAGTTCGAAAACACGTAAAATTGATCTTGTAACTGGGTAGTTTGAAATTTTTTTTATTCATGCCGTTTTACGTACGGTAAGTAGGAAGAATAAGCCCTTTCTTTCCTAAGCTGCCATTCGGGTTCAGCGCATTTGACTGATTTATAGCCCTTCTTAATTTTCGCATAGCAACCAGCACATGGCTGATGAACCAAATTCTTTCAACCTTGCGCGAGAATTCATTTATATAATGCTTAAGACTACATTTATGTTAACAACTCTGAACTTTCTAAGCTTCGCGGTAGTAAGGTATCGAGTGGTTATCATAGTGTCGTTTAAGCAAGCCGTGAGATTCCATCGCTACCCTTTGCCTAGTAGAGTTATCGATTTTCCGTTTCACTTCGACAGTTATAGTTTAGAGCCGCCGACGGGTGGATCATTTAAGGTATAACATAATTTATGCGCCAACCCTTAAAGTCAAATATATAAATGCTGAAGTCTTTTAGGAGACGCTAAAATATTGCGTTTCCGCTGTTTGTCGGGGTGTCTATTGTTGTACGAATGACTCTTGGCGAACGAATTGTTCCATCTATCCACAACCGCGACGAAGGTGAGGTTTTTTTATTTCATATACTCCGTCATTTAATTTTTAGCACTGTCTCCGACTCAGCTGGTGCTCTAATTGCATGTTTTGTGTACCAAAAACACGTGGAACTTGGTAATTTTCAGACTTGCCGCGTATCTTGACCGGAAATGATTCAGATAGCCTGAGCACTGGTAAAGCAGAAATTGCCAGCCAGACATCCGAAGTAACGAAGACATTTACGAAGACGGCAGAGGCAACGAGTAGCGATATAAGTAGCACAATGGCTAGGACGACATCAGCAACAAGTGTCACTTCTACCACGTCGGCGATTACAACTACGACAACAACACCAATATTATCGGCTATCGCTAGTACTGCGGACCCCACAAGTAGAGCCTCAACGACTGCTACGACCACTGCTACCACAACAACGACAATTTCGACGACTTCCACAACGACGTCTGCAACGACAACCAAGTCGGCAACAAGTAAGACCTTTCGGTTGCGAATGCGTTGTTCTTTAGCACTTAACCCCCTCGCCACCGCGACATATTTACCCATCCCAAAATATGTAAACTCGACTGGGATACACTTTTGGAGACGCATGGTCGGCACCGTCGCCGAACCAGATGAACAATATTGTAGAGGGTCCGTGGAATTTTTGCATACCTAGCCTGCTGGTCCTCACCTTCTCTCGTTCTCTATCACTCACTCTTCTCTCTCCGTTTCTCTCTCTAACTCTCTCTCTCTCTCTCTCTCTCTCTCTCTCTCTCTCTCTGTCTCTCACTCTTTCGTTCTCTCTCACTCTCTCTCTCTCGCTCACTCTCTCTCTCTGTCTCGCTCTCCTCTCTCTCTCACCTTGCTCTCCTTTCTCTCTCTCCCTCCCTCCCTCTCGCTCTCTCTCTCTCTCTCTCCCGATATCCACTCGCTGTAATTTCCAGGACCACTTGGCAATTCCTCAAGCCAGGTCAAGGTATCACATGCGATGGCCAGGCGATGTTGAGGAGCAGTATGGACGGTAGGAGTGGCATTTACACCCAAGAACTTGTCTTTTTCAGGGACCTATCTAGGCGTCCAGGAAATGGCTGGGATGATCGTTGGCTGGGTAGCTACCACTAAAAATAACAAATGCGGAGCCACACTCCCGATCCGCGCTTGGCAACACCCAAAGACGCTAGACTGCATATACACAAATACCGCTATCACAAGGGTGGGAAGCTACGTCTCACTCGGCATCGTATTTTACGCGTGGCCGCCGAGAAGCCCATGTTTTGTCGCCGGGATTGGCTGTCAAAATCCGGAAGGGCTGGCGAAGTGTCACCTCGATCTGTAGCGGAACAAAACTGCTGGATAAATTGTGAGTGAATCAAGTTATGATTTATACAAATGCATGGGGCGGGTTTGTTTGCAATGTCACGTGAAAATTTTGCACATGATAGGCTATGTCAAGTGCGGAAAGTCCACTAAAAATTTAAGCCCTAAACACCACACACGCCTCCTTGACCGCCGTAAAAAAACATTTTATCGACTCGATTAACATTTCGGCAATCCGCTGTTGATGCAGCCTTGAACTTTCGTGAAACAGCTCCCGGCTTCCCACGCGTAAAACTTGAGTACGGGCGCCTTATAGATGGTGGCAGAGTAGCCGGCGCCAGTGGATTGATAGATCTTGTCCCCGTTGGCCTTCTTGACCATCTCGCCAATGGGCGATGTCGCAAAACATCCATTATCCTTGCCACTCGCCACCCAGCCCAGCTTTTGATCACCGCTCGCGCCGACGGAGAGTGAGAGACCTAAAAGAAAAGTTAGAGCTACGATCAGCACCCACCATCCTTACTCGCCCACAATTTCACCAAGCCGTCACATCCGTCCGTCGGCTTTTGTGCTAGGTATCGCCAGATTTGGCTGGAATCATGGATTTAGGATTTAACAAGGAGAAGTTATTTTAGTGACAATCGAGAACTTTTTAAGAACGGGATTTTCGGTCCGATCCCCTAGTTCCAAAACTAGTAAAAGCTAATTGCCATAAGGCTTCAAAGCTGCAAACCATCAAACGAAGGGAGTTATCGGCGAAATCACTCTAGGAGAAATGAATTTTCCGAACATTGCATTCCTAAAGGGGCTCGGAAGTCATAATTCGCGGTTTGCGGGATTTAAACTACTGGACAAAAGCAGGGGTGATGCCGAGAAGCGCTAGAAAAGTGATTTTGTTGGGCCGAAATTGTCAATTGTCCGAAACTAAAAACCCACCCTTTACAATAAGTGTCCTCTGGGGTGGCAATATTCATGCTCATCTCCTTCCAATAGTGCATCACTGGCTTAGCATTTCCCTTGTATCGGGGGATCGTCGCCAGATTTGCCATGATTTCGTCTTGAAGCGCCGGGGTCGTCGTTGTATCTCAAGTGGCTTTTAAAACCGAAAACGAGAATTACCTAGTTGGCCTCCGACCCAATCAGCCACCATACTAGAAAGTGTTGTTGGAGCCGTTGTCGTCGTTGGTTTTGTGGTCGTCATGGTCGTGGTGCTCGCTGAATTTGCATGTTTTCAGTCTCTTTCTACAGGTCAACGTTTGCAATTCGTGAAGAACGCTTCTTACTGCGTGGCTAAATAACCCAAAAAAATCTGAAATTTTGTCAGGGGTACGACGTAAGGAAATTTTTTTCAGAGCTACTTTCACGTAGGGGTTTTCAAATTACCTTTAACCGTTGTCCTACAAACATCGACCTTTTTATACACAAAACAATTAGTAAATTCAGTGAGAGCAGGTAATCTGAAACGTAATAGTTTTGCGGCGAGACCAGATCTGAGCCTAAATCCGCTGATGGATAGGGCGAACAGTTGGTCTTCAGCATCGAATTCGTACAGCAATAGACTCCAAGGCACAGTGCGCTCGAGTTACAGGTAAGTAACACTTTCTATAACGCAACAATTTAAGTATATCTTAGTGTTCTTTGCATACCTTAAACGATAGCCCCCTCGGTGGATATAGAATCGTTTCATCAAATGTAAATGGAAATTTCACAGTAGCACTTGGAAAGTATGCTCGACTGTAAAAGCTGGAAACCTGCAAAAACGTAAGCTCATATTAGCCGAAGCGTGCTTACAACCAAGCCTTGAAAGCTCAGGGTTCCCAATATTTGCAAGAACATTGACCCTAGCAATTTTGGAGGCCAAAAAATGGACTGGAAGTTCCAGACACCCGGTGACGACGTGGCTACCTAGCTACTCGGGAGTAAAGAGGTAAAAAGCCGTGTGATTTATATCTGGGTACGAAAATATCACATGTCCAAAAAGCTCAAAGCACAAAACGATCTTTGTAGGGGAACAGCGTAACGGTGTCGGAAGTTTTTATTTTATGGTTACTTCAACTATGTATTTCTTAGCTCAAGGTTTTTTAAGAAGTCAGCTGTACAATTTATTGTCTAAATATTAATATTACGTAGTTAAAACCATTTCCGGCACCAAGAGATTCATTGTCTTTGGGCGAAGCGATTCTTCGCAAAAATTCGATACGGTGCTGCTTGGACCGTCTGCCCGAACGTCTTCTTCATGCTCGGTTTTTCAGTGGCGGTTATCTAAAGAGTGTATTCTTGATTTTCCCTAGCCTTCTCTCTCGCTCTTTTTCTCTCGCTCCCTCTCTATATCGCTGTCTCTCTCTTTCCCTCTATTGCTCTTGCCTCACACACTCTCTCGCTCTCTCGCCCACCAGCCTGATCTCTCGCTCTCTCGTTCCCTCTCTCTCTCGAAAGTATTCAGAAATTTCGACAAAACTCACCTCAAAGCGATGGAATAAATTGGCGAGGAAGAGGAACAACTCGATCCTTGCCAATCCTTCCCCAACACATTGTCGTTTTCCGATAGAAAACGGAATCAATTCTTCACGTCTTCTGAAGGACCCGTCGGCATTTAGGAATCGGGATGGGTCGAATTTATAGGGCTCGGGGAAGTGCTGAAAATCGGAGATCGATGGATTAGTACTCTCGCATCATCGCCGGCATGGATTTCCGGTACTTGCCTTTTCGTCGTACATCACACAAGAAATCTGTGGGACGATGGAAGTGCCCTTTGGCAGCGAATATCCATTAATGACGACGTCTTCAGTAGTGGCGTGGAATAGGTTTTGAGGTAGCAGGTTGCAGAGGCGCTGGACTTCCTGAAAATGCCCACTTGTTCTTTTCTCTCTCTCTCTCTCTCTCTCTCTCTCTCTCTCTCTCTCTCTCTCTCTCTCTCTTTCTCTCTCTCGTCTCTCTCTCTCTCTCTCTTCTCTCTCTCTCTCTCTCTCTCCTCCCTCTCTCTCTCTCTTTCTCTCTCTCAACTTACGCATATCACAGCATTCAAGTACGGTAGGTTATTCTTGTCGCTCATCTCGACACGCCGATCCGATTTTATCTTTTCATCCAGCTCCTGGTAGATCTTTTGCTGGACCTCGGGGTGGTTCAGGATATAGCATACGCCCCAGGTGAGGGTATTTGCGGTGGTTTCCATACCTTAATATAGTTTTTATAATTACTTTTTATGGCATTTAGACAAATAAATATTTTTGAGACATTTGTAAGGTATTTACCCCGCCCATATTATGTGGGACTGAAGTGGAGGGGGTAAACGGTTTTTTAATTTTTTTTTTGTTGCGGGGGTTTTGTGGGGGGTTGCGGGGGGGGGGGGGATTTTTTTTGGCCGTCCCCACCGAGGGGGGAACCAACCAAAAAACCAAAATTTTCCGTTTTTTAAAATTTTTTTCTAATTTTTTTTAAGGGTTTAAAGTATAGTTAAAATTACTAACAACAATGTAGAGACACTTTATATTTGATTACTAGGTCAACCGGATCCCAAGAACAGAAATTGTCCCCCGGGAAACCTAAAGAACCGATATATTAACTTACCAGCAACCCATAAATCAAAGACAAGGTTGAGGAGTTGCATTTCACTAAAAAACATGGTAGAAAAATCCGTAAGGTTTGTAGATACCTATAAAACTCCTCCGATTCTGTGCCCTTCCGCTTCGAGCGTTCTTTCAGGAAGCATTCCACGAAGTCGTTAGGTTCCTAAAATTGGATTAAATTAGTACGTTACGTTACGGTCAAATACGGTAATGTAGCATCATTTTGAATTGTGTATTATTACGTTACATATTAAAAATTAGGCATAAAAAAGTCAGAAAAGTCAGATTACCTCATCCAAATCGAATTCTTTTTCTTTAGTGGCAATCTGCTTTCGAAAGTAGTTGAACAGCAAATCGCGATACCCAAAAAGACGTTGACAGGCCGCTAAAATCAAAAATATACTTCAAAGACCTTAAATATGCTTACATAGAATTTAAAACGTACTATTAAAATATGGCAAATACCGTAACCACGGATACAAAATCAACAGGAAAAGTTTCGGGTTCATAAACTCCTTCATTTGCTGTGAAATTGAGCCTTTGACGAAGAAGAACTCCTCGAGTTTATCCTAAAAAAGGGTATTTTAGATATATAATGATTAAATATGTATAGTTGACCCTCAAAGTTAGAATTATTTAGCAAAATTGAGTTTAAAAAGATATAAAAATTACTTAAAACACGTACCTCGTCATACCTATACCCAAAAAGTATATTGTTAATGATGGAGCCAACCGAAATGTCGAATTCTTTCTAAATGTGGTTTTATTTTTTGTTTGATCGTATTTTAAGACATTTCATATTGTTTTACGACGATTTTAATATGAGGTATGATGATTACCTGCATTTCGAAGCTATCCATCTGCTTTTCCCGGCGCTCCAAAAGGTATTCCACCTCAAGCATTACCTGGAAATTTGTAAGTTCAATTGCTTGCATTATTTAATTGTATTTGTTAAATTTTTTTGTAAGCGGATATAGTTTGTACCCGCTCTTCCATGATATTTTTGCCCATTCCGAAATCTCGAAGAGTGTGCAGGGTAAAGCTAAAAATCAAATTTAATAATTTTCGAGACTTTTCTCACCGCCTCTGGTCCCTCCACAAATCCCCGGCCGTCTCCACGACACCGTAGTTGCCTCCTAAAAGGTGCTAATTTGCATATCTAATTTTTCGTGATTCTTATTTCACGCCATAGAATATTTTGAGGCTTTTAAAACCCTCTAGAACTGCACGTTATTTAATGAATACATGCTACAAACTAGAAACCTCGATACATTTTCGTCATCTCCAAATTATTAAATCGACCAGCGTATTTGTCGGCATCCTGGATAAATGTTGCTTGTATCGTCGCGTAGTCCGACACGGCAACCATTGGCCGAGAACCTAAAAGGTATAGTGTTCTGAAGTTGTTAATACAGAGCATACCTTCTATAGGACTTAGGTAATTTACCGGTATGGTGATTTAAACATAGCTTTTGGAAGAGTGAAGAGTCAAGATTTTAAAATCGCTTGAGAAATTAAAGAAGAGTCCTGGATGTTTTATGAATAAAATGAATTGTTAAACAAAATAACAAAAATTTGTTGTAAGGTATCGTTTCCATACCTAGCCAATAAGTGTGTACAGGTCCATATTGTTTTGTCCATTTCCTATAAGCCTCATAGCCGGGCTCGTTTCGCATAACTTCCAGCAAGTTGCCGATGAATGGTAGCGGAATTGGGCCTGAAAAACAGTATTCTAATCTTTATTCTTAATGCAATTTGGTCGATAAAACGCTTCGTATTAAACACGAAAATTTAATTTTTTTTGTGACTTTCAGGTAAAAAAAATCACAATTTAATAAATTTATCTAGGTTTTGAGGTGTTTTAGTATAATCAGAGAACAATATACTTTAATTTAAAGCAGACGAAATTATTTTAAGGAGCTTGCAATATGTAATTGTAGACAATTTCCGTAAGTCGATATTTTTCCAAAAAATATTGCCAAAGCCTACCTGGCGGCAAATTTCTCCGTTTCCAGTACAGTTCATAGAATAGAAATCCAAGAATTACGGTAGTAAATATTAATAAAAACATGGAAAATAAAAAATATAGGACTTTTGACGAGCAGATACCGCGCAAGGTCGAACGGAACACGAAATGATTAGCGGGCACACCGCTGGACTGGGCACCCGCTATATTGACCCAGAGATACGGAGAGAGAGCAGGGAAACAAGAAAAAGATAAAAGGTAATGGTAGGAAAAACATTTTGTAATTTGTGTCGTTTTGTGATCCGTGCGACTCTAGTATTGTAGCGGAATATTGGCCAAGAATTGCTCAACTGCCAGGCGTATTTACTGAAAAACTCAGACCAGAACTGGGTTTTGGAGGCCTGTAGTTAAAGGTTTAACGAGAGTCCTTTGGTCATTAACAAAATACGATAATTTTTATTGGGCTTTGACACTTTCCCCGAGAAATTCTGACTAGGAACCTCGATTTGCCAGCTACAGCTGCTTGCCCGTCATGCACCCGAAACGGGCGCCACCTGGCCCACTGCAACCGGGGGTCCTATATAACCCCCAAGTGAGCCCTCCTCTCTCGGTCAATGGTCCGGAGTCGGCGGGTTATCCGTTCAAACCCCCCGTCGGCGACCACTCGACTTTGGCCTTTTGCTTTTTTGGGGTTTAGCATTATTTTGGTGTATATGTTTGCCTTTGAATCGATTACGGAATACTATTTCAAAGTAAGGGCTCAGTGGTCCAACTTGAAGCTAGATTTACAGCTTGTGGAAGGCTTCGGCACTCAATTGGAGAGCCAAGTCCACTTAGCCGGAGCCTTTTGATTTCTTTCGGCACTCGGAAGCTGTAAGGCATAACTGCCCATCTTCTTCAAAAAATTTTTATTACGCAATAGCCATATAATTATTAGAAAATTGCAAAAGTGATAAGGCTGATTGGCAGGACTAGGTGTTGCAGTTGAAGGGAGCTGTTGTGTTTAGCACTTCTCCTTCTCGCCCTTGACCTAAAAAAATATTCATTTGCGTTTATCATGCTGTATTGTATCTCATTAACAGATACCTAATAAGCGGATACTACAAAGCCTAAAAAATCTTGCAAAACTTACGTAGATGTCGAGGTTGACGTAGGTCATGTCGTAGGGGGCGGCGTCAATGTGCGTCTGGGGGACCTCGTACTCGCCGATGCGGGCACATCCCTAAATTTTTGGTGAAAATTAGACATTTTTAGTGCATTTAATACGTTTTTAATTTAATTACATCTTACTTTTTATTTTAAGCAGCTTTTAAAGGAACCATGAAGACAAAAACCCTTATGGATTTCCTAGAAGACTTCCTAAGATCACTTTGCATAGTTTTAAACCATCGATTTCTGTGAATATGAACATTTATGTTGCTTGAAGGATACCTAAACCTTTAAAAACCATATCACCGTTTTCCGTTTTCACCCTTTAAAGGCCTTGTGAAAACAAACACCTGCTCAAGGATTCATTTATTTAAAGGAACTAGGAAGAAAAACTCCATACCTCCTTGGTGTTGCAGTTGTGGGTGATCCTGATGAAGGGCTCGATCTTGCCGACCTCGTCCTCTCCTCCGGTGATCTCGAACTCGCCCTCGCTGTTGGTGGTGACGGTCGAGAGGAGATCGTTCGGGTCAACTAAAAAGCTGTGGATCAGTAACATTCCATCGCTCGCTCGCTCTCTCTCCCTCTCTCGGTTATCGTCCCTCTCTCTATAGCTCTGTTTCTCTCTATCTCTCTCTCTCTCTCTCTCTCTCTCTCTCTCCAGTTAAAAACTCACGGGTGTCACGGTCGAACAGCTCGACCTTGACGTTGGCCAGGCGCTTCTTGTTGCAGATGGTGACTCCCTGCAAAAATCAGATAAATAATTTTTCTTTTAATTTATTGAAAAACCGTTTGTTGACTTAATTTCCCTTCTTTTCAAAAATGTAGGAAATGAAGGAATTAGATTTAAAAATTAACATATTTTTAAAAATCAAGATACCGTTGTTGAAACTCGAAAGACGGCTAAATTTTAACCTTAAATATTACCATTACCGTTACAATTTTAAATATAGCAATATCACGTAATATACGATTATTTAACCTATTTAATAGCCATCGGGAGTTTTCAGAGATTTTTGCCAGATTCAAATTTTACAAAATTTTGCGCTAAAACCTCCTTTAAATACCCTAAAAAACTTATTAAAAAATCATATATTGTACATTTAATTAATGCTTAATTTTTTACATAACCGCTTTTAATAAATCGATACCTTGACGGAGACGCTCTGCATTTTGGCCTCAATCAGGCACAGGGCGGCAGCCAGCACGAAGATCGGCAGAAGGGCACGCATCTTTCTATCTGCAATTTTATTCATTTTCAACGGGTTTTTTCAATAGAAATCTGTCAGAGCGAATGCAATGGAAAACAACGAAATGGCACATAGTATAGGTAATTCTGAAGCACCAAAGGTACAGCAATATGGTACAGCCGGGGGGTGGAGGGAGGAAAGTCTCGGAACTCAGGAGAATCCCGAAAAAATTCCGGATTTACATGCACTTCTCCTTCTCGCCGGACACCTAAAAGTATGGAAATTTAATGATATAAATTTTTCAGTACCGCAATATCGAGGGTGAGGTACGTCATGTCGTAGGTGCCGTCGATCTTCTCTTGGGGAACCTCGAAGTCACCGATACGTTGGCAGTACTGAAATGCAGGGTAACGTGCAGGTCTGGCATTTTTCGAGCTCTTTCCCCTATCTCACTATGTCTCTCTCTCTCTCTCTCTCTCTCTCTCTCTCGCTCTCTCTCTATCTCGCTCTCTCCCTCACTCTCTCACTACAGGGTGGCCCGAAAGAGTGGTGACCGCAGCTTGCACACAGAATTTCTCTGTTCCCTTATGGGTTTGGGCAAGGCGGTGTTATGGATTCTGTTTCCAATAGATGTTGGCTAAATTTGAGCATACGCTCAGCGCACAACGCAGTCCTAGCTTTTACATTAGAATTTAATTCCATAATTCAAAGTCATGGATTTTTTTGAAATCGACAAAATCTAAAATAAATTCCTGTGGAAGAAAATACTTAACGATGCCTTTTCCATCTCTTTAACGAGCGTGCCTGACGTTTCCGGTGAAGCTCGTGGTGACAGACTATGGCTCAGTACCCTCAACTTGGTCAAGTGACTGAGGCCCGTTAATGAGGTTTGACCAAACCGTTTTTGCTCGCCAAAAGAGCGATCCTGCAGCCCCAACCCGAACCCGCAGAATTTTTTTGTGTAGCCGGTCTGCAAGGCCAAAGTGTTGGCTACTCTCGATTGACTTTGGGTTCGCTCGCGAAAGTCTTCATCGAGTTATGAGCCAAATTCGGGCTGAGTGTCTGCGTGCCAGCACCTCCGTTTTCCATCCGCTTCCGCGCCAGTTTTTCCGAGTTTGAGGCAAACAAATAAAAAAATGGTTATGCCATGTGGAAGATAATTGTTTAAGGAATATAATGTGCTAAAATGAGCTTTCCTCGATCTATAGTTTTTCAGAAAATCGAAAAAGTTCCGGTCACCACTCTTTCGGGCCACCCTGTATACCTTTAATTTGACTTTAATAAAATTTGCAGGCTAGTAAAATTTAATATTTTAGACTGGTATCTACATAAAATTTAGTTTTAGCTGCACGAAATACGATTTAAGATATTGTTTTCCCAAAAATCCAAGGTAGCGGCTAGGCGAAAAAAGTGCGTTGCTAGGTTTCCCGTATACTTCTGGAGCCATTCGCTTAATGATGATTCAAGCTTCCCGCTCTCGCTCTCTCTCTCTCTCTCTCTCTCGCTCTATCTCACTTTCTGTCACTCTCTACCTCTTTTTCCGTCTCTTTTTCTCTCGCATCTCAGAAAACTTACAGGCTTGGTCTTGCAGTTGTGGGTGACGCGGATGAAGGGCTCAATCTTTCCGACCTCATCCTCTCCACCAGTGATCGTGAACTCGCCGTCGCCGTTGGTGAACACGGTCGAGAGGAGGTCATTCGGGTCAACTACAATAGAATCACCATTTTCTATTCATTGATACTTTTCTCGCTCCCCTCTCTCTCGCCTTTCTCTTTCTCTCTCTCGCTCCCTCTCTCTCTACTTACGGGTATCACGGTCCCACAGCTCAATCTTCACGTTGGAGAGGCGCTTCTTTTGGCAGACGGCGATTCCCTAAAACTATGAAAAATTTGGGCTCAAGATTACTGTAAATAGTTTTCTTACAGTTTGCGTATCTTCCTAGCAACAGTAATGTAGCAGGAAAGGGCACCCTAAACACCTACCGTAACCGTAACATTTTGCATGCGGGCCGACACTTCCAGGAGCGCTGCGGCGACGAGGCACAGCGTCAACAGCAGCTTCATCATTTTTGGGCTATAAATACGGACTTGTTTTGGGGCCGGAAAATGGCTGCGAGACTGTACGATAAACAGTTGATGGAAACGGGGAAGTGGAGGGCAAAAGTCGGAGAGTGATGGAGAGCCCTGTTCTATCTGACAAAGAATTCGCGGCCGCATTCATAAATTGTTTAGAAATCGGTGGATCGGGAGAAATTGTTATGTCTGGCAAATGGCTGGGGATGGGGAGTCGGAAATCATGAGGAGGAGCTATTAAAATTGTGACAAAAATTGAGAGGAGAGCGGGAGAGAAGGAGAGAGAGAATGAGGGAGAGAGAGAGAGAGAAAGAGAGTTTTAAAAAATGTAAAAACGTGCTAAACCCTCAAAAATCAAATATATAAAATCATGATAAGTTAAAAAACCAAGATTTCTATCATTATTAAGTTTTGTTTTTAGGTTATTCCCGGCCTAGGAAACTGAAAACTAGAAATACAAGAAATTTAGTCTACGGTAGATAAAAGCTCGAGCTCGAAGGTGTGAGAATGAGCCTCCCCACCCTGTCGTCAAGCCACCCGGACCCTGATTACAGCCGTCCCGATAAATGGCCGTGGATCTGGGGGCCCAGGGGACTACTGCTTTGAATGGGCCAATCCCATAAATTACCGCTCTCTCTCTCTCTCTCTCTCTCTCTCTCTTTCTCTCTCTATCTCTCTCTCTATCTCTCTCTCTATCTCTCTCTCTCTATCTCTCTCTATCTCTCTCTCTTCAGACAAACACCGAAAAGCCTCGAAAACCATGAACAAGCTCCTTTCCCCTTAGACCCCCAGGGCGATTTTCGCGAAAATATAAACAACCCAACTGTCTTCAGGCACTTTTCGTCATAGGTTGACTCATCGACCAAAGTTTACAAATCCCGGTGGTGAGGTGGCAGTCGTTAGGGGCTTGAGGAGCGGATGATGGATGAAATTCGGAAATTGGGAGTGGAAAAATAGGGCAGTGAGATCACTAGACTCTTTAGGAAGCTGAGGCAACAGCTAAATCGGCTTGCTGGCACGCACGCTAAAACGGGTTTAAAGGGATGCCGACGGCATAGTCAATCGGTTACGCTAGCGGAAAGAAGGAATGTCTCTGCGCCTCTCCCTGGGCGCTGCTCTCTCCCATGTTGGCTACTTGCCAATTTGTTGATGAGGGGGGATCGACACATGCCGTCGGCAGCCCTTTAAAGGGACTAAGAAACCAAAGTATCGACATTAAGTTTGACTAGGTGTCGACGGATACGTTTAACTTAAATCAGTTAAACTGAGGAATGAGAGAAGAAATATCGGTGAGGTGGTGGTAAAGGCAATAGCTGAAGGTAAAAAAACTAGTGAAAAATGCTTGAGAGCTAACTTGCTCCTGTTGAGAATTCACTTTGTCGAAGTTTCTGTTTGATATCTATTGTGTCGATATTTTGTTTGCGAATCTAAATTTTGACGAATGTTTGGTTTTTATCAAAATTTAATTCTCTCAAAAATGTAAAAAAAAATTAAATTTCAGTTCATTTGACCAGGTGAAATTTGAACAAAGTGAAATTTCGACAAAAAACCTTTCAAGACAATCTATTTTGGCATTCTGAAATTTGACAGAAGACAAATATCGAAATAGAGGTCGACATCTACTATTGCAAATCACAAAATACTACCATGACTCTACCTTTTTGGATAGATTTACTAAAAAACGAAGGCTAAACAAGTAACCAGAAAAAACTGCCCGTCTGGCAAAATTTTAAACCAGTCTTTAGAGTGAGAACCGCTGCCAAATGGGCGCTTTTATCCTGCCAGTATACGGCCAAAAGTTTGTACTCGCCGGCAGACCGGCTAAATCCCTTTTTAACCACGCGACGTATGAGTCGAGCACCCAGATGCAAAACAAGCATGACGAATCATGGTCTGGAGGACTATTCTGAACAAAGGATGCTATTTAAATCGAGTATTAGCCTGGACGGATCATTTAGTCAACGTAAATCTCAGTAATTCAGCAAAAAGTTAGCTTGGGAGCGTCAGAACCCTAAAAAAATCGAAGGTTCGGAAACAGGAACGCTCGGAATGTCTTCTTTCAAAGTATTGTAAAGAACTGCCGGCATTACGGTAGCTAAAGCCCTTAAGATGCAGGCTTGCAAACACTTTTATACTCACATTCCTGCAACTCATCAAAATGTTTGGCTCAAAATTTTTAGTGTACTCCGCAAATCGGTGCCCTATCGTCAGCTGTCGATGTTATTCAACGGTCTAGTTCTCGATAGGGGGGAGGATAATTGGCTGTTGTTCAAAGGGTCGACGAGGATAGGAGGACGATCACACTCGAAAACGTTAGCAAGCGAGAGAGAGCGAGAGAGAGAGAGAGAGAGAGAGAGGGGGGGGGAGAGGGAAAGAGCGAGAGGTAGGGAGACAGAGAGAGAGTGAGAGAGGAGAGAGGGAAAGAGCTAGAGGGAGAGAGAGAGAGATGTACGTTTAATCGTGTTCGAAAGTTACGCGCCAAGCTATGGCTTGAAAGTAACCGTATAAAGGGAGGTTCCTGGAGTTACCAAATTTCCATGTAAAGCGAAATTGTCAAAACTCGCAGTTGTCGAGTCCCAGTTATTCCGCGGTCAATTCTTCGGCTTCACAGTCCCTTTAAATTCAGGTGCAGGTATTCGAGACGAAGGCGGTAAAGAACCCCTTAAGTGGCTTGCTGCCGACATGGCTTTCGGGTTAGCACACCTCCTTCGCCCGATATTCTTGGCTCCTCGAGTCGTCACAAAGCTGACTCATCCCTCCTCCGGTGTTCTCACTGTCACCTCCGCATCCGGTCGCCCCAATTGAGTGGCAGCTTCGTTTTGTGTATGCCTGTGTTTATACCAGAAACACTCCCGGGTGTGTGCTATTTTCAGGCGGCACCGGAAAACGTGCCCCATCCAGGGCGTCAGTTGGCCCCAATCAGCAGAGTCCGACGATCACATGGGGGTGGAGTGATAATGTGTGTTGGATGTTTCAGAAAGGGAGAAGCTCACTCTCTCTCACTCTCTCACGCTCTCTCTAGCCCTTTTTGGCTAGGTCGCGGGATTTATAACCCTCGGGGGCACTTGGCGCCTGTTGCAGCCTGGCCGTTGGAACACCAGAATATACACTTTAGCATGAGAATAGCCCAGATTCCGAGTGTTTACTCTTTACGCTGTATACAATATATACTTTCTTTTTGTATTACACGTTAAATATACCTTAACATAGATGGCGACTTTTCAGAACCCTTGAAGATGAACGCTTTGAGCCTTGCTGTCGCCGCCTGCCTGGCCATGGCCACCTACGCTGAGATGCAAAATGTTACTGTTAAGGTAGGTTTTCATACTTTGCATGTGGTAATACTACGGTACGCTGGATACATTAGTAGAAAAAACTTACGCTATACAGAATACATTAAAAATGGCCTTTTAGGGAGTGGCCGTCTGCGATAAGAAAGTTCTTCATAACGTCCTCGTGGAGTTGTATGAGAAGGATACCAGTAGGTTTAAGTTAGGATCTGTATTTCCTGTCTTTCTCTCCTTCTCCCTCTCTCTCTCTCTTTCTCTCTCTCTCTCTCTCTCACTCTCTCTCGCTCTCTGCCTCTTTACACCAAAATGCAACAAATTTTAGTGAACCCCGACGATCTTCTGGCCCACATCCACACCAACGCCAACGGTGAATTCCAGTTGTATGGCGAGCACGACGAGGTAAGCTGCGACATTTATTTAAAGTTAATTAAAAAACTTTAAAAGCTAATTTAATCTGAATCTAACACGCACAGTATTTTGTGTCATCAACTGTTACTTGGGTCGTCATCCGCTTAAGGAAATTCTGAATCAAGATAATTTAGGAAAGAAAAAATTCCAAAATTCTAGATCATAAAAGTGTGTCAAAGTCTAGCTACGCCTTCCGTAGCCCTTTAAAATCCGCTTTCCAGGCCGGCTACATCAGGCCCTACCTCCGCGTCCGGCACAACTGTCACGCCAAGCCGGTGAGTCGAGCAATTCGAGTGTTCGGCCACGGTAGTTCGTATTTAAATTTTAGGCATCTGATACCAAGAAATTTGTTTTATCGAATTTTGTATTTTAAAGCAGTTTTGGTTTTTTTGCGTAGGTTCCGAAGTAATTTTTGCATTTCAGAACTGTGCCCGCATCGCCGAGTACCAGATCCCGCAGTCGGCCCTTGGAGGTAAGATTCAGAAATTTGGAGCTATTTCATACTTTCATATTTTTATACATACAGATTTAGGATATACATAAAAGTATACAGTTTTTTATACAACTTGTTAACCCGATCAAACTTCAAATTTTTTCAGACGTCTACGACATGACCTTCTTGACGCTCGACATCAAAGTGGCCGGCGAGACGGAAGTCTGCTGAAAACTTAAATAAATCCTTGATTGTCTGTATTCTTTATTTCTATGAATGTGATGTACCGATTTTAACAATAAAAATAACATAATTAGAACAAAATAACAATTACATAATAACAATATTTTAAATTACAACCTCACGCGTAGATGAAAAAACCCGAATTCCATGAAAGGACAGCGATTTTTGGCTCGAAAAGTGCTTGCACGCTTCATTCTCTCGCTCTCTGTCTCTCTCTCTCACGCTCTCTCTCTCTCTCTCTTTCTCTTTCTCTTTCCTGTTGTTCCAAAAATAGCGGCTACTTTGGGTGTTTGGTGGTGTGTTTGGTGTCTTCAAAGGTCCATGGTCCTCCTCCTCTCAATTGCCCTGTGGCAGCTGTTTCACGACACCGTAACCGAAAGGCCCATGCCCTGTTGGGGGGTGCAAATTAATGGCCCTCACCGTCGATCGGTTCGGCACGGAATGTAAACAAGCAGCAGCCTCGCCTCTACCGCCCCCCCAATCGGCCGTGTTTCGCTATACCGGAAAAATATCAACAAAGAATGGAAGGAGTCGGGGATCGGATGGTTTTCCAGGGAATTGGAAAATCGGGGAGCAAGAGATTATATGGCACTTTGGAAGTGGTAGAATGATAAAAATTTAGTCTTCGTCGCCATAGAAATGAACTTGAGCGATACGTTAAAGTCAAGAGAAGCCGTAAATGGGTTTTAGCGTACTCTAAATGCTTATCGGCCGAAACTAAACATCTGGCGTGAAACTCAAAGTGGCACTGCATTGCTTTAATAGCCTCTGAAGGTGTATGGAGGACCTGAGCATGCATTTTTTGCCTATGGATTGTCTTTGGAGCTTGCCGCAAACGGAGCACTCAACGCACCTGCCGCTTCGCCGTCTTGAGAAACCGTTTCGGTAGCTTTTGAAAGCAGCAACGCGTACGGTAAACCTGTAGCGCAATTACGAAAGCAAGTCTGGACAGCTAAAAATCTATTGCTATCATCTGGATCGAACCCATGGGGGTTGTGGAAAGTCTCGTAAGCCCATTACGCGCAACGAGCGTAGCGTCAGCTTTGTGCGGGTTGTGAAAGCTGAATTCCGACCATCTCGCTGAAGACCGTCTCGCCGAAAACCATCCTGCCGAAAACCACTTAGGCGAAAACCACTTCGCCGAAAACCAACTCGCCAAAATCTAATTTTGTATGCAAGCCTTTCCGCCTTTGCGTTTAAAAGTTAATAATTTATAACTTAGGTCTCCTTTCCATGGGATAAGTTTAGAGTCATATAAAATTTGTTTAGCAAGCCGTTTCGCGTAAGCTCTAGAAAATTTGAGTTTCAGTTTTTTGCTGAAAACGGTCCCTTCGACTGGAGTCATGTTATAACGTTTTGACAAGCCTTTCCTTGCCGCCTTCTCCTCTCCAACATGATTTGATGAATGTGATGACTGGAAGTGTGGAGAGAAATGATTCAGAATGCCGACGATTGCTCCGCTCCGCGCCCACCGACCACCAAAATTAATACACTTCCACATTTTCCTATTGCTTCTTTGTTCCTTTCCGGATAACACTTTATGTTCGAAAAATTCGTGTGTTTCAGCGATGGACATAAGAAAGTGGGTAGTTTTACTTGAGAGCGAGCGGGAGAGGGAGAGAGAGAGAGAGAGAGAGAGAGAGAGAGATATGGAGATAGCTAAATCTATTTTCTAGGTCGATTACGTCTT